ATTACATACACAGCATCGAATACATCCAACCTGCAGTTCACCAGGTACATCTTTATATTAATAAATAAACAAGTCACATCTCGCGCTATTGTCGATCGGGCACACTTACGCTCTCTCGAACTAACCGCTCGACATCGTACAGGCCCGCTAGCACAAACAGGGCACACTAGCACTCTTTCGAAGAACACTTCGGAACCGTACAGGCCCTGAACAGCTGACTCAAGAGTCACTGTGGTTCACACACATTGGTTACACAAGACCAACACAGATCGACTAATAGACTCTATAAATACAGATTATTAAATCCTTCACGAATTAGAAATCTTACCTTTAATTGTTTTTACCTGTGACTAGATTCTACTGCTGTCCCTTTACATAATTAAAGACATAATTGATTACATAATAAATTCCATTTAAGATCTGACACCACATCAAGTATAGCTATTCATCAATCAAGCATACTAGATTCAACTACCATCTTCTCATGCTGCCTCACAAGCATGATTGACTGACGACATCAGCTGACATTGACAACATCCGCATAACCTCAAAGCAACACAGCAATATCCATAGAAGCCTTCATAGCATACGAATCACAAGAACACATCTTTTGAATAATCCAACAGAATTATTTATTTCTACACAACAGTGCAATATTATAATAATTGTTTTACAATCATTAACCTTGTTTTTAAATAAATATATTATATTTTTCAGCCTTGTCTGGTATTGATTTCCTTTAAAATTATCCTGCCGAGAGACTAACCCACTGAACTATTGAATTGGTAGTTCGAGCCATAAGCTAACCCTTTAAATCCGAACAAGTATAAACAGATCAAAACTCACAAGGATGATTTGAACCTAAGAGAACACTGTGGATAGACGAACAAGAATAGAAGTACTTCATCAGTTGCTGACTGGCACTCACATTTTCAGGGCCACCCATTTCCGGCAATTCGAACACTGCTGAAATTAATAGAGGATGAAGGAAGTACATACCCTCTCACCATGACTTCATTCAGGGAAGACATGTTGATGACATTGCCGAAACTACAAACACACCAGAACAAGCAACTGAAGCAGCAGCACAATGACGAGACCCCTGCATGGCAGACGGTCCCCCTTGGCAAAATGGCGTGCGACTCGTGCAACGTGCACGAAAAAAATAAAATGACTACATTAATGTGCTCCAAGAGAAAAGTGACACCCCTCACGCTAACGACAATCCCAAGACCAGAGCTTGCTGCAGCGTTACTCCTTCAAAGCTCACATAGTACATCCTCGTCACATTGAAAATGGACGCCAAGGTACCATCGCTGGACTAATTCACGGGTAACCCTCACATGGATAAAGTCCCATCCATCAAGATGAAAGAAATACGTGAATAACAGGGTTACCAGCATTTAAGACCGAACTTCAAACGCATACTGGAGTTGTCCCTGGAAAATCGAATCCAGCAGACTGTGCACGATGCATATGTATAATACAAATTCAAGAACATTCATTTTGGTAGACCGGACCACCATGGATTAAATCGCCAGAATCATGACAATGCCAACCTACATTGCATGACAAGCAACTTCAACGAGACCCAAGTTCCGGTACAACATCATTGGCGACGGAAACTAAATCAAATCATCATTGAGACATAATACAGATATTCATCGTTAGGAAAATTACTATAGACTGCCATTTATTTAAATTTAGCACCATTTAAACTAAAAAAAAACATGACCCGTCGTTTACATTTCACATATCAAGGGAAGCTTTAAGAAAGAGCAAGAACATTAATGGTAATGGCAACATTCTCAAAGGTAGGTTTTTGAGAACTTTCATGCGGATCAAGTCTTGCGCATCACGCACCATTGGAGACACTTTGCTCACCTTTGAGGAGCTCACTACTCTGCTTGCATAAATCGAAGCCATCCTGAACTCCAGACACCAAGAACCAATCAGCGACGATCCAGAAGATTTAACTGCACTCACTCCTGGCCATTTTCTTACAGGAGGTCCGCTTACGGCTCCGCCATCTTATTGATTGAGAGATTGAATTCGTATTGATCACTAATACCACTACCATTACCATCTTCCCATGCTCACGAAGAGCATCGTCGACTATCTCATGCTGATCCCTACAAGATTAGTATAAAATATACATTTAAGATTCACATAACCTCCATAGCATCAACAACAACCAAGAACACAAAAAAGAACTCGTACCACTACAATAGAATAATTCTCTATCTCAATAGAAGCAACCAACAACGCTACAATATTATTATATATCATAACCAAAATAAACAATAATTGAACTCAAAATACATTACATTATACTTTTTAGCCCTTCTACTTATGCCTTCTTTTTTTCTAATCGCTATGACGAGAGATTAATCCACTGAACTATTGAATTGGCAAGTTCGAGCCATAAAATAAACATTAAATTTCGAACACGATAATATATTAATCCTAATTTTCCTGATAATTACAAAAATATAACAAATAAATTAGGAGTTTTTATTAATTCGTTAGTAAATGTTTTATCAAGAATCGATCAAAAGGCCTTGTTTTTAATAAACTTATGAGCATAAAACTTTTACAAATATATTTCAATTAGAAAAATGAAATATCCTATACACACTTTTGCAGAGGTAATCGGCATAGCGTATCCATCAACGGTGGGAAACCGATCAAAGTGATTGTTCTCGGTCTCGCTAAGGTTGGCAAAACTGCTCTGATTTACCAATTTCTCTATAATAAAATACCAGACAAATATAAACCAACAATCGATGATACACACTACGCAACCTTCAACGCAGCTAAAGAAAAAATCGTGTTCGAAATCCTAGACACGTCAGGATCACTCGAGTTTCCAGCAATGCTAGATCTCTCTATTAAACAGTATGATGTATTTGTCCTTGTTTACGATGCCAGTAATCCCAACACTTTTAAAAAAGTCAAGGAGCTGTACGATAAAATTTTGCATACGAAAAACAATGCACCAATCGTCTTCGTTGGAAATAAAATCGACCTCTGTGATGACAAACAGCTGGTAAGTAAAAACAATCTTTTGAACATTATGACCTTCATTTACAATTATTTGTAATCAAAATTTTAAATACACGTCCTATATTTACGTATATTGTACAATAATAAAAATAAAACGTTATCAACGTAATTTAAAATTTAAAAATTTCTGCTTATATTTATATTTTATATTTTATAAATATAAATAGTTTATTTATTTAAAAGTTAAAATTGACTTTATTTATACGCTAAATGTATTATATTATAATTTCCAAAATATATTTTATCAATAATATCCTCCCAAACTTTAAAATATTTTGAGAAAATTTTTTACTATAAGAAAAAAAAGAGTAATTTATAGTAGAAAAAAGTAATCTAGATCCTATATAAATTGAAGTATACATTTTTTTAAATCGTAATTCTTAATATCAAACAAAAATATTGGAAGTGTATAAATTCTTTCAAATGCATATAATTATTATTAAAATTAACGAAATGAAAAAAAAAAAAATTTCAAACTGCAACATAGCTTAAAGTCTTCCAGAAAAGTTCGAGGTCTTGCAGAAATATGTATTATAATTATTCAATAACCTCAAAATACTATTTATGGTATATTTACATATGCATGTAATATATATTTAAATGTCATTCACCAACTCATTTTCTTTAATGAATAGAAACCATATATTATACCATAAAAAAATTAATTTTGATTGTATTTACAGTTTTACATTGAACAATGCTATTTATAAAATAGTTAAAATAGTTAGGTAAAAACAGTTATTATTTTCAGTACATCTTGCTACGTAAAATGTTACGTATATTCACGATAATCAGAAATTATATATAAAATTACATTTCCTGCTCAATATTTCAGTTGCTGGATCAAATCCAAAACAGATAAACGTGCAATTGATCATTTTCTTAAAATAGAATTGGTTAATTTAAGTTGTATAACTTATATGTTTATAAAGATAAATTAACAAAATTCTATACATAAATATATATACATAAATATATATTTCTTTATTTATAAATATATCGATGTAAATATTTGCTTATCTTTATAAATTAATGTTGAAATTATAATTTTTTAATTGAGATCATTATCTTCAAAAACGATAATAGTATTATCAACAATTTAATATATTATGGATAATATACTTAAAAGATTTTATAAAAGCTCTTAAAGTTGTATCACCTTTTGTGTTTGATATAGTAAATTATTTGTTTTTTTCTTTATTTTTATCAACAATAAATACTTATTAAAATTAATATTATTTGATAACACTATACTGTAATGGATGATCAAATATCAAGATACTTCGTTTATTTCTGAGATACAGACATCAACAAAGCTCTAACTTAGTATAAATGTATTTTATCAAATTCTATTATACAATTTATATATTAATTTAATAAAATTTATGCAAATACATAAATGAATTTTTATATTTTAAATATTTTCTGCGTCCAATTTTATCCAATCAAATGAATAATTAAATTTAAAACATTTCGAAACAATAGCCACTAATGTTTTTTTGTATTCAAAAATTAAATCGAATCACTTTTAAAATAGGAATAATGAAATTCGATCGACTATTTAATAAAAATATATATTATACACAATTATAATATGTATTATATAATTAATTAAAAATGAGACTAAATTTCAATATTATTTATTTTACACTTGTGATTTTTTGTTCAATTTTTTATCGAATTCAATTCAATGAAAATCATTATTAATGTTAAATACTGAATACTTAAAATTTGAAATATAATTTTATATATCACTTTATAAATCCATCATAAATATAAAGCATAAAGTATCCATCATATATATAAAGTATGTGTTTACATATCCAATTGATTATACTTAATATGTGAAATAATTTATTGCATTATAAAAATTGTTGATATGTTAAATGTTGAGAAAAATTTTATGTAAAAACAGACATTTACGTATACCATATTCGCTTTTCTTTAAATAACTAGTATATATTTAGTTTATATAATATTTAGTATAGTATATTCAATAAAAATAATAATAATTATTATTCAACGGATAGCAAATATGCTTGTTCTCAATTTTAACTTAAACCACAATTTTTCTGACGTGTATTCGAAACAAATATAGATCTTAACAAAAAACTATCGTTTTAGGAAGAGATCGAGACAAATCGCAGACGTATCACGCAGGAATGGGAACATGGCTTCGTCGCGGCATCAGCTAAGAACAATACAAATACTTGGCAGGTATTTCAAGAATTACTAAAACAAGCCAAGATTGAGTATGATTTGCAACCGGCACTCAATAAACGCCGCCAGTCTCTTCCACCATCCCATAACAACTCCCAAACCAGCATAAATCAAGTCGCGCTTTCCCCCGCTCAGCTTCAGCATCTTGAGCGGATCCGGGAGAGCTCAGATTTGACCTCAAAAAAGGGCCGCAACTCTTGCAATGTATCGTAAAATGTCTTTTTTATCTTGATCTCCAAATAAATCTAACTCGTCAAGACATACAACCTTCAACTGCATTAAAAACTATATGCCTACATTGTGGAAGGACATTATAAATACCTTTTGTATGAAAGATATAAAAGTTTTGTATTTCGTAGTCATTATAATACCAAAAATTTGAAACCTTGTAATTATTTAAGAGTAAATTTTTTTTTTTAAATAATGTCGACACTTCAAGTTTTACGAGACATTTTCAATTTATTTTTTTTTATAACATTCAAATTATCTCACTGCAATACTTATTCATCATTGTCTATTGCATTTATTAGTGTAAATACACCGAATAAATAAATTTTTAATGTATTCAAGTGATAGTCATACAAGAATTTTAGACAAACATTCTTCAAAATAGTGCAAAAAATATTAATGACATTTTTCACTGACTAGAAGTAAACAACGTCTACAAAGACACGGTATTTAATAAGCTATTTATGGTATTTCAATCATAAAAGTGCAATCTCAATTTTCAATAATATGCATTTTAGAAATACATAAATCAATTATGTTGTTTTTTTATTGTTAAAAGATTCCATGAATAAACTTCTATAAGCAAAATTTCATGATTAAAGACAAATAACACAAAAGAATTAAAAAAAAACCTAATCATTATATATTTAGACAAATCAGGTAAAGCTAAGCTTGAAATCGAATGTTCAAATTACTAAATATAAATAAAATTATTTAAAAAAACAAAGGTAAAAGATCACAATGTAATTAATGTTGTTACTTCGATAATCTGTAGTTTCACAAATATTCATAACAATAACTATATAATATATACATATAACCCGTATATGTATTTATTAAAATATTTATTTAAGATAAAGTTTATCTTTTACTAATATTTTTATAGTTATGCTTTAATTCAATAAACTTTCTTAATAAATATTTTATTACAATAAGAAAACATGAAACAAATAAGTATGAAAATTCAATAATTGAATTTTTATAATGATAATTAATAATTAATTAAATCATACTTTTAAAAGAAAACGGTATATTAGATAGATCTCTTAATAATAATTTTCTAATAAAATATGATTAAAAATTATATAAACAAAAACATAAATAACAAAAAAAAACTTAATAAATTCAAATTAAAACTTATATTTATAAAAATTCAATATTCAAATGCTTAAATCTATAAGCAACTATTTAGTAATTAATTTATTCCTATTTTCTATTTAGTATTTCGTAAAGAATAACGATGCCAATAATTAAAAAATATAACTGGAAATATATAAACATTTTCTATTTGAAATAACTTACATTATACATAAAGCTGTTAATATTTGAAATAGATCTTATTAACATAAAATTCTGAAATTCCTTAAATTTGTTTTAAAATGAACTTGAAAAATATATAATTCTTCTAATATTTATTTAACCTAATATATATTTATAAATACTTTATAAACAGCTATGTAAATATCTAATAGACAATGACGAAAATTGAGGATACTGATATAAATAGGAAATAAGAAAATAATTTTTTAAAAAAGACAAACATTTAGTGACTGTACTATTGATCGAAATTCAATTTGATAAATGTCATGTTTCCAAATAGTAATGTAAACTAATTTCACCCAAATTTTACAAAATTTCATGCAATTGTTTTATATGTATATTTAATTATGAATTAAATCGATATATTAAATTATAGATTACAAACATTATATTATATTTATTAAATTATTATTAAAAAAAATTCTATTTGAATAGTTTTATTCATTTATTACTTTTCGAATAGGTTTCGGTTTTAAAATATTTGTTTTCGATTCGTATTAGTGTTAAAGCATAGGATTTTTTAGACTTTTATTTGGTGCTGTGATAATATAATAAAATATATAAAGTATTATAAAAGTAAAATTCAATTTGATTTAATACGAATAATAATGTTTATTAAATAAACTTTTTATGAAAATTTATATTTTTATTTTTGTCGCAATCACAATTGCTCGTATTTGTCAATAATAATGGGTTATAATTATGTATGCATAAATACGTAATGTATATTGCTTACTCAATAATTTAATATATTATCTAATATTCTTAAATTGACAAATATAAATGAATCTAAAATCTAAATTATTTAAATAATTGTTGGATTTACTTTAATATTACATAATGATATTTTTAAAAGTAACATAAAAATATAATAAAATCATAATTATAAAACTAAAAGTTATATTTGGACTAAAACAATTTTCGAATTCTAGTAATTAGCCCCAGCTAAAATCCTGGAACGTTGAATAAATACTTTTACAATCAATTGTATTAATTTATAATAAATCAGTACCATATTCATGTTTCTTACAAATCTTTAAAAACTATCTGTAAAAATTGTATAATATATGATATATGTGTGAAATGAGAAAATTATAATCTAATTAATTTTATCAATTTTAAAATTGATTCATTTACATAATAACATAACATATAGCATGAATTTTTTAACAATATATCAAATGCAAAAATATGAAAGATAAATTTTAAATACAATTCTCAATCATTTATTTCGAAATTTACAAAAATATGAAGTAATTAACTAAAATACTTTTATAGGCAATCCACAAAAAATAAATCGAATTACTTTCTAATATTTTTTATTCAAAAGATTAAAGAAAACTTTAAAATTTATATATTACACATTACTTATGAATTAATAATTAGCAAAATTATTAAAGCATTTACAGAATAACTAAATTAAATGTTTTAAGAAAATATGAACTCAATAAAAATTATAAATATTATATTATCATTAAACATTAAAAATCCTTTTATTAACACCGAATATGTCTTGTTTATGATTGAATAATTTAGAAAATTTAAATATTTTTTTAGCCGCTCTAAATTTTCTCATTTAATTTGGATTCGATTAGATGAACCTTTATTTTTCTGTTAAGTTTTGAAAATTAGGTTTTAATACGAAACTATTAAAAAGTATAAATTTTTATCTCTATATCAGTTTTAATATTAATAATACATATAATACTTATATTATTAATGGAATTTAATTCTAAAAATTTTTAATTAAAAGCAGGAAATAAATAATTTTCTACCGATTTCATTTCAAAAGATACACGTCCCTATAGGTTTAACTTATTTTCAAGTAGCACTAGATATTTTAGATAAAATATTATTTATTTTACACTATTTAAAGAAACTAATATAGAATTGAATTCCAAAAAAATTTGACTGCCATTTTAAACGCCTGAATAACAAAATTGTAATTATATATACTTTTTGTATCTTATGTTGGTTACTTAATAAAATCATGAATTTAAGTAATATTTATTAATTAATTGTTATTTCATTATATGTTATTGAATATTAATCACCGAATGAAACTCGATATTTTATATTTATAAATGTTTAATTCAATAAATAAAACATTTTTATATGAAAATATTATTTTAAGTTCGATTATTTTTAAGGGTTAATCAATTCATTCGTTTAAATGTTTAATTAATTTATTGATTGATTAATTAAGCAAGATAGTACAGGATTCAATAATACTCTTTTATTTGATTTACACTCCAATTAAAAATTTCCAAACAAAAATGAATAAAAATAATGTTCAAGATTTATGAGGAAATCATAGATTGTATATGTACCACAGTTATCTAATTATAATGTTATATTTGTCCATAATAAAAGTTAGTATAAATACTATTCTTAGATATACGTTTCAATAATTAAAAAGATATGTAAAAAAATATCTGCAATGAAAATTTAAACAAAAAATGTGTCAATCAAAAAAAAAAAAAAAAAGTGCATAGTTTTTGCCCACTTTTCATCTTGCATTTTGATCAAATCAACCGTCGACAATCGTATGACCGTCGTTTAAAAGCTGACGGAAAATTTAACGATACATATTACTATCAAAACTAGTATTCTTAGTTTATATTAATTGTTCAAAATATATGTATTTAAAATATTTACACGTTTTAAATGTTTTAAACAAATGCTTCTAAATTTTTTTAATCACTTAACTTCTAATTCGGTAATCGCTAGTATACTTAAATTATTCTTTAAATTATCCTGTCTGTGAATACGACTTTATGTTTTATCTTTCTAACGAATATTTTAAAACAATTTAATAGTATGAAACCTACTATCAAAGTTTCTTATTGACAAATAAGTATTTTGCTTTAAAAATATAAACCTTTACATAATTTAATTTAGTTTTTAGTGATACTTCGCTACAAATTTAAATAATCTTATGTAAATATATTTAGCTTTCAAAATATTATCATTTACCAGGAATTACACAGTTCACGATAATAGTAATACAATATCATAAAATACAATTAAAATGTCAAATATATATAAAAATTTTTTATAATCAATTTGTATTATTTTATATAATGTACAATTAATAAAAATATATAGTTTCACAACTTTATATATCACAAAAATAAATAAATGATTTAGAAAATTTTTTTTATGAAATTACAATCAATTTTATTGTATGCAATATTTTATGCATATGTTAATTACGAAAATTATTGTTATGCCAATTCTATACCTTGAAAAGGTTATTTTCCTGTATTTTATGTTTCTTATCTGCGGTTATTTATATTAAAAATAACTGTGTTTTATAATACTTATAATAGCGTTAAAATTTTAATGTAAATAACATATTAAAAATATAACGTGATCACTTGGTAAAAGTTGTTGTTACTATTACCAATTATCAAACTAAAAACTCAAATACCAATCCTTAATGTTGTTCAGATCATTTGTTTTCGCTAATGTAAGAATTTCATGTACAATTTATAAACACCTTTGAAGACTGTTGTAAAATTTTTAGCTATTTAGTTTTAATGAAATTTCATATTTGTTATTATATAAAAGGTAGGATCTAAAAATGACTTGCAAATAAAATATATGCAAATTTTATTTTACAAGATTTGCATTGCTTTTATTAATAATCAGTTTTATGTATTTCATCAATCTTTATCAATGTCGATAGTTATTCGATATTGTTGTTACACTTAGGGAAACAAAAAATATTGATATGTGAAATCGTTAACCAACCCACCTCTTCCTAAATTTTGTAAACCGATTATCTAAAAAAAGAATTGGAAGCAAGAAGGCAAAATGATTGCCCATCAAATTCAAGGCGATAGATTATTCACGACGATATTCCTAACGAAACATTCTATTATGTTTACACAATTAATCTACTTACCAATATTATATTATGTAATTTATTGTAATAAAAGGTACTAGACATAAAGAAATTACATTCTACATTATTTTCTATAAAAAAGTTCTATGTTCAAAGTGCTTGTAATAAATCAATTTTTAGAGGTACATGTTAAAAACCATGGTACTTCATTATTTAAAGAGCCATTATTAAGACATGTAAAGCATTACTATTTCATTTGATATCCTGTAGTAAACATATTTTTTATATAATATATAATGGTAATAAAATTACTTAGAAATAAATTATATTCCTGACCTTTATATTTTTATCGGTTTTTTATTTAACATTTGAGTGATTGTTAACTTAGAAACAAAGTCAAGCCCATGTACTGGAAGCTTTGTTAGGCACTAAACAAATTGTTATTATTATTATTCGCCTTTTATTTTATTCTTTAATTATGTCACTTGGTAAAAATACTAAAAAGTATTAATCCTTAGATTTCTGGAATTTCCTAATATACTGATAAATTAAATTCATCTAATGTTAATATGCATACGCTTTACCCAACAATAATTTCTTTAATTGCAGATAATAATATATGTTAATTTTATTAGAAACGTACTTCTTGGTAAACATTATAGGTAATCCATAGCAATAAACACAGAATTAGTACAACTTGGCATTGAAAACATTGGCTCGCACAATGATTCGTTGAAAACAAAAAATTGTTGAATAAGGGAAATGCTTGTCCTGCTTTGTAAATAATAAGTTGATAGAAATCAAAGGAAATAATATAACTTAGTGCTGCCCTCTTTTGACAAACAATTTCTATTTCTGTCTCCCTTACATCCACGCGCGACTCTGCACCCTACGCAGTAATATCTCATCAAAATTTTATCCATCCTTTCTTAACAGTTTTTTTCTTCTTTCTTCCTTATACGTCGCACTGCCATAGCTCAAACTCAGTAGCATATAACACGCTTTATTGTTTTTACTTTATTCATCACTTTTGTTTATACTAAGTACGAAAATACCTTGAGGAATACTCGAAACTTGCGAATGCTATCAATCTATGTTCTTAATCACAGATGCAGGAAGATTATTGATAAACGCAACGCTTTTCAATATTCCCATTACCGTCTGCATCATAAATGTGGAAGATCCTTGGCATTTTACTATTCAATCTCGCTGGCTTCTACAGTTATGAAGAGGATCTTGGCAGAATAATATTCACAAATATTGTAAGTACGCGACTATTTATTTTACATATAGTCAAACTCCTTTGTTTCATATTTCTTTTTTAATTGTTTACAAATTATAATGACTATTCTTAAAGTGTCTTATCCCACATATAATTAAACTCATTTATTGCAACAATTGAGACTGCATTCTCATATTACAAAACTTTAATAAGTATTTTTAGATTTTCCAAGTATTCTAATATTAGATGCTTATTTTTACCAAGTTTTTAAATTGTGATATATTTCAGTTTTGTTTATATAAAACATTGAAAAACTATTTAATTTGTGCATACATTTTTAAATTAAATTAATTAATATTTTACATAATGTAAGTAATTAATTATTTTATGAAGTGGATGAATTTTTTTATTATAATTATTTTATAAATGTCCTTTTATAATCTACAAAGCTTAACACATAGTTCATATAATTTGACTTAAAATAAAGCTTATTACGATTATTTTATAATGTATTCTTTACAATTGATTTTAATTTTTTTTTTATAGCTGTTTAGACATGGAGATAGAACACCGATTAAAGCTTATCCTAATGATCCTTATCGAAATGAAAGTTCATGGCCAGTACCATTTGGACAACTTACTAATGTTAGATTAAAGTTAGATACAATATATATATATATATATATATATATATATATATATATATATATATAATCTATAATAATATAAAATTAAATTATTAGCAAGATTGAAATTTTTTTTTTTTTTTAAAGCTTGGAAAACATCAACACTTACTATTAGGCCAGTGGTTCAGAAATCGATATGATCATTTACTTCCAAAAACTTATTCTTTTTATGATATTTATATCATGAGTACTGATGTAGACCGAACATTAATGTCTGCTGAAGCTAATTTAGCTGGCCTTTACCCTCCTAGTGGTGATCAGGTATGGGATATAAAGATGTGGATGCCAATACCAGTACACACTATTCCAGAACATGAAGATAATCTTTTAGCAGTAAAGAAATATTGTGATAAATATGATTATGAACTTCAGAAAGTATTAAATTCCCCAGAAATAAAAAATTTAGATAAAATAAACTTTGAATTGTATCAATATTTAACCAAGATGTCTGGAAAAACTGTTTTCTCTTTACAAAGTGTTGAATATTTATATAACATTTTATTTATTGAGGTATACAATCTTAATATAAAAATTAAATGTTATCATAAATTTAATTATTTTTTATTTTAGGAACTTAATAATAAAAGTTTACCGAAATGGACAAAAAGTATATATCCAGATAAACTAAAACCTTTGGCTGAGAAAAGTTTTACAATATCAGCTTATAATAAAATACTTCAAAGATTAAAATCAGGTAAATATGAAATATGAATACTACTAAATTATGCATAAGAATAATTTTTCTAATTTTATTTAAATGGTATTACATATGATCAGGACCTCTTTTGAAGAATATGATTGAACATATGAAATTAAAATCCAAACATATATTAATGCCTGATCGAAAATTATGGATTTATAGTGCCCATGATGAAACCATAGCTAATATGTTAATGACTCTAAATTTATTTGACCCTCATTGCCCTCCATATACTGCAACTTTACTTTTAGAATTGAGAATTAATACAAAAAATGAACATGTCGTTACTGTTAGTAATTTTAAAATTACTAACTTTTATCTATTCTTTTATCTTTTATCTATTCATTTATCTCATTCATTTATCATTTATCAGAAGCATCAATAATTTTTTGTAAATTACAGATTTTTTATAAAAATTCGTCCAAAGAACCAACTTTATTAACTCTTCCTGGTTGTACTGCTGCTTGCTCATTAAATCAATTTATTTTACTAACAAAAGATGTCATTCCTGTAAATTGGGAGCGAGAATGTTTGATGAACAATGAAATATATTCATTTAATATTAGTGCTACTACTATTATTGGTAGTATTCTTTATTTGATTATATTGTACACTTTTCATAATAATGCAAAGATTAATTTATATTTTAATTAAATCTTCTATTAATGTTTCAGTAATGTTAACGACATCAATTTTAATGTTAATTCTTTTGGTTCTGATGATTATCACATTTATGTATGGATACCACAGAAGGCAGCATAATCAGAATTATTCACGATTATCAATGGATGGTGCATAAAAATAGTGATTTAATTTTCTTTTTTTTTTTAATTATTCAGTGAACTTATTTGTAACTGTTTGAAATTTTATTTATATAATTATTTGTTGAATTTAAAATCATGAAAAATACGCATTAATTACTTGTGTTATTACAAGAAAAAAGTGAGTAATACGAAGAATGTTATTTACTGGTTGATTGATTCTTAAACACTTTTATTATTCATTTCTTAATAGTACAGAAAATGGTATAATAAAATATAAAGACGTTTATTAAGAATGATTTCTGAAAATTAAATTATACTGTAAATAATACACTGCAAAATGATGGTAATTTCTGTTTTAGGTAATTGTAATTCAAAATTTTTATATTTGCAAATTTAATTAGAATATTAATAGGTAAATGATAGAACGTACAGTAAATGAAAAATTATGAAGTTGATATGTAAAGTAAAACTGATAAAATTTACCTACATTCTAATAACTTCTAATCAATTTATTAATTCAATATATTTTCTAATTTGTAAATATTTAAAAATATCTTGAAGTTGTATTTTTTTTTTTTTTAATTTAAAATATGTATAGTAAATATATTTTGGAGAAAATGTTTTATTCTATTACAAAATTTTACAGAAAAACTTTTCAGTTAATATTAATATTAAATAAGAAATTCTTATACTTGAGCATAAATTTAATTTGTATTCCTTCATAAATGTGATTGTAATATTTACGTCTTCAAAACATTAATTAACATTAATTGGTTTTAATGTAAGAGATTTTAGAAAAAATATAAAATATTAAACAAAAACAGTAAAACATTAACATATATAATTGATTTAATATCCTTGAAAAGTGTTTTCAATTTATATATAAATTAAATATTATCATTTGAAAATAATAAAATTAATATATTTTATGTACATAATATAAAATATTGTTTAATATTTCTTTTATTTGAGTTACTCTTTTTTATTTAAAACTAATGAAAATCCGAATTATTTAAATGAAAAAAAAAAACAATTAATATATGATACTCTACACTTCTTTGATTATAATAAATATAACGTATTTTGAAATATGTAATAAAGGGCTTTATTTATTATATAAAGCATACAAAAAATCTGATAAAAATATAATTAATGTTTTTAAAAATTTATATACAATCTTCATGACAAGGGTTAACAAAGTCAATATGTATATAAGTAAAATCTTTTTACATAAGTCATAATATAAAAATGTGACGAGATTTGTAACGTCCATCCATACTGTAACAGAATAGTGGATTCGCTCTGCAAAATAATTATATTATTACAAAACATTAAGCATAATCATCGATTTAAATTTTTTTTAAATATATAAGTACTAAGTTATGAGCATAATTGAATGTTTTATTTGCAATAGATAATTTATATGTAGTATATTCATTTATAAAGTGGAAATTATAATTTAAAACATGCTTCCATTAATATATTGAAATACAATACAATTTAAGATTTTTGTTTATTGAGAATGTAAAAAATATATTGATCCATATACATATATAATATAAATATATCGTTTTTGATCTGGAAAACAATTCTCTGCAACTTGATCGTATCTTTTATTTTGGGAAGGTAAAAAAAAGGATAAAAGTTTAAAATTATTTAATAGGATAATTACAATGAAATGAAGAAATATAGATATTTGATCATATAAAATTATTAATATTCTATGATCCTTGTCTAGTGATTGTCCCAGTAATATTCCAGAAACATTTTAAAAATAATGAAAGACCTTAATACCGACATGTGCTGTACAAGTTCTAGTAAAAGTTAATTTTTAAAATATAAATTATATTTATTGAATTTATTGTTGTACAATATAAATATTTGAAATAATGCTTTAATACAATACAATATGTACATAATTTAATTATTAAGTTTATTAAAGAAATAATTTAAAATATATAAAAAAGAATTTAATTTATATCCGTCTTTATAAGACATTTAGTTTTTTACAGTGTACCAAATAGGAGTATATAATTACTATGCAATTAATTTAAATTTAATTAATTTAAAAATGCAAAAATAATTTTTGTGTTAATGTGATTTATACATTTTTTTACTAATAGGAAATGATTATTAAGATATTTATTTGCATAATATAAATCAATATATTTGTATTTGTAATAAAATTTTATAAATCGGAAAAAAATTAAATGTATCATACAAAAATATATAAAATTGAAATATGAAAAATATATTGGTATTTGATTTATGTATATAAATAATACCGAAATAAATGAAATGTTTGTATATATTAAATATTAATGTGTGTAACGCAAATGAATATACAATTATAATTTTCTGTAGTTAAAAAAAAAAAAAAAATAATATAACAATAATTTTATTATAAGGAATTATAAATTTAACAATACAGAAATGTATTTAATGTTGTTTAATATTTAAAGATAATTATTAATAAATAAATGTAAAGAAATATTTACAAAAATTTAACAACAAAGTTTATAAAGATATATAAATTCATGAAATAGATTTCACATTTACAAACTAGTGGTATGATAACTAATATATTCAAGTTCAAAAAATTCTTAAAAAAATATTTTGTTGCATTAAATATTCTTATGATTTCTTTATTTTATACAATATTTTTCAATATTGTCTTTCCTTGTTCAATGTTATAATTTTTATACAGCAACATTTGAAATATAAAGAATTATATAGAAGTATAGGAAAAATATATTTTTCCAATTTTTTTTATTTATAATGTTAATATAAATTTTTAATAATATTAAAATTTTTTAATAATGCTGAAATTTGATATCACATTGAAAAAATATTCCTTGATTAAATGAGCTGAAAAGTTAAATTTTTAAAATATTTAAAATAACTTTTCAAAACAGTCTTTCAAAATTAATTTTTTGTTCATACTTAAAGTGAACTAATACTATAAAATTGAATAAGAATCATTGAATGCTATTAATAACTTTCAAAATATTCATGCACCATAATCTCCACTAACAATAGAAAAAAGGAGAAATACATTTAATTTATATTAAAGCCAATTAATTGAAAATTTCTGTAAATCTATGTTATGGAAAATCTCTATATTTAAAGAATTAAAGGACTTATGGTATAATATGTACTTCTAATAATTGTATGTTCAAGTAATCATGTATAGTAAAAAAATATTTCTTACATTATCCTTTTGCACTTTGTTTGAGTGTTTTCTTAAAATTAGAAGAATATTCTCTCCATTCGTCCTACCTTGAATAAATAACTGGATTTGTTAAACCAAAACTTGCTTCAATAGGTCCTCCCACATACTTTTCAATAAACTGGAATCAAAGAAGAAAATGTTAACTTATGTAAAACATTTCAAATCAATTATTTTTATAATTTACAAACAGGAAATTTGCTCAGAGATGTGGCTCCCATACTAATACACATGTGGATAACCAGGTAAAGGCAAAAAAATAAATACAAAACAGCAAAAATAACAATTATTGGTATAATTATATGTCTGTAAGTTGGATCATTCTGAACTAATTCAGATACTGTTTCAGACACGAAATAAACGTTTATTGATATCACCACCAATGATAAGGCTGTGGCGACAAGTTTGTTAAATCTGCAAATAAAAAATTTGATTAAATTTCATATTTCTTCATAAAATATTAATTTATTCATGTTATCCTAAATATAGTTATTGAAATCTAAAATTATTTAAAAATTTTAATGTCAATGCTAAGTAATTTACAAATGTAGTAAAATCAATCAATTCTCTGCTATTATAATAATAAATTTTTTATTAACTTTCTTTAAAAAATAAACACTATAAATCTTTAAATATGAAAAAATATAAATCTTTACATTTCTATTTGAAAGTCCTTTACTAAAATTCAACTTTACTTAACAATTTTTCTTGACGTCTTTAATCACGCCTCGCAATACTAGTCAAACATACATTCCATTCTTGAACTCGCCCATGATCTGTGTACTGCTGGTGAAGGCGATGGTTGGTAGAGCGGCAAATGGCAATTGGAGACTCATCATCGCATTGAGTACATCATTCATACCAGTGAGATCGTTGATGTTAGCATAGAAGGCAACGAAAAAAGTCGGTACAATAGCTATGGTACGAGTGAATAAAACTCGCTTCCAGCGCGCCCACTGCAAATTCAGGAAGCCTTCCATCGCAAATTGGCCAGCATACGTCCCAGTCATAGTTGAAGATTGACCAGCTGCTAGAATTCCGATTGACCAAATAATCATTGCTGCGAAGCCAAATTGACAGCCTAGAAAAATGCCGCCTTTGTACAGATCTGCATCGAGCGTCTCGTTATTATTCTGCAATGGACATTATTTTATAATTATTTAATATGTTCAAATTAAAGCTGTTAAAAATTATATTAATAATTATGGTGTTTTTGTAGATGACCATAAAACAAACATTTTTTTAGAAGCATTTCGGGTTTAGACAGGCTATTATTAATTTAATTATTTCTGTCGTCATTAATAAGAAAACATTGAATATTAAAAACTATCTTAATAAACCTTATGTATATGATGTATACATTAAATAATATTAAATATTGCATATTATATTATATATTAATTTTTATGAAGTAAAAATAAACGAATACTTAGGAATTATGTAAGTGCATACGTGAATAAATATATAAAATCATGAATTTATTACATTTCATTAATTATCCAATAACTAAAATATCATTAAATCGATGCATAAAAAAATATATTTTATGTTATTTTCTGTATTAGTTTATACGAATACAAATTAATATTATTTTAATACTAGTTTTTTCATTTTTATATTGATGTTTATTATCAATGTAAAAATTGATTAATTGCTACTAAATAATATTCTTTAATAAGAACAATAAATACTTACTTTGAATATATTTATTCCTTGGGAAAAATTATTTTCTTTACAAATTTCAAACTAAAAATATAAACCAAAATAGTATTTTATTATAACAAAAACATGTAAAATCATTATCTTTATTATCATATTTTTTTCCTAAACACTTTATAAATAATTGTGTGATCGATTATGATATAGTTACATAGGTATCTATATTCTCAATCATCTATACTCACAACATCTGCATTTGTTTTGTTAAATAAGCCGTGAGCGAAAACAGCTACGACAAATACGTTAATTAGAAACGACACAAATAGAGCGATTGTAGCTTCAATGAAGAAATACATATTGGCCTCCCGAATTTTACTGGATTGCCTTCGATCTACATCTCGAGACTACACGCAATGATAAATACATTTATTAAAAATAATAATTATGTATAACTAATTAAAATAATATTAAACTTTTTTTATAACAAAAATGAAATTATAAACCAAAATATGTTCCTGCATAAGTATTATTAATAAATTTAATTGATTCCCTTATACACTATTAAAATTAACATTAAAATTTGTTTATAAATTTAAAACAGACTTAATTTTTAATTAACACAATAAAAAAATCTTTTCGGAATAAAGTTATTTATGTAATAATAAATCATTTTAATACATAGATAACTACTTTTATATCACTTGTCATTAAATTATTTTCAATTGCATCAGTTTTTTCTTTATTCATTTATTTTTGTTGTAATTCTCAAATATAATAATTGATTTTAATTATAGTAAACAATAAGTTTTAATATATACATAATTATAACTATTCTTATAACCTCCCTTTTTTCAGCAATAAACACTAATATTCTGTATGATACTTGAGACAAAAAGTAATTTAGTAAAATTTCCAAATTGATTCCATCGATTTAGTAGAAATCAAAATATTTGTTATAAAATTGACAAGAATTCTAATAAATTTACCTGATGTAAGTTTAATTTTATGTTTAAAATAAATATTATTAAAATTATATAAAATGCATTATTTCTATGACTTACCTTGACAAGTGCACTATGCAAATATAAATTATGAGGCATTATAACAGCTCCGATTACACCAACAGCCTGTAATAATATTCTTGTGTTACAGTTTTGACACCAAGGTAGAAACATTCCCTTAATAACTTCAATTTGTGGTGGCGCTGACACAATATACTATAAATTCGAAGAATAATTGGTTATGATTGAATTATATAATTATATTTTATTATATTGTATTATATAATAATATATAATACCTCATAACCAAATGTTACAGCCATTACTGTGATCAGAAAACCAAAAAAGAGTTCCAATTTCCTTAAACCATATTTATCTAAAAATAAAAATGTGAATGTGTCGATGATAGTGACAAGAACTCCTCCCCATATAGGAAGTCTGTAATACAATATATAAGAATTGGTTTCAAATATTATTATCAATAATTTTAATAATTTAGTATATCTAAAAGCGTTTTATATAGCAATCGTATCTCATTTTACTCATCAGTAGCAGTTAACAATTAAATAGAATCGAACTAAAACATGATACTATAATATAGTCTTTGACGCTCTTACTTTTGTAAAAAAATTTCAGATATAATAGTGTGATTACATACACACACACACACACACATATATATATATATATATATATATATATGTATAATGATTATAATAGAGCATTATTAGTAAAAATTGAATACACGTTTCTAATCCGCATGAATAAAAACGATGTTTACCTCGATCACAAATTCTAAGATACAAAATATAAATCAACTACTGTAAATAATATTTTAATATTATATTTAATTAAAACAATTTAAATTACTTAAATATTTATTGAATTTTATTAAGTGCTCTTAATGATATTCGTCATACACATTTAACTTTTTTTTAAGCATCAATCATTAACTCCGTTTACATTACTCAACGTCGAAAAATAGCCATATTTCATATCATTATTTAAATTTCAACATCATTAATAGTAATTTTAGATGTATGATTTTATCTTTCATATATAAATAATGGAAATTAATTAAAATTGAATAAAAAATATATTATTTCTAATTCTAAATAATGAAAAAAACTATATATTTTTTCCTATTATTTCATACATATAAATGGGTCAAATCCAAAACTTAGCTTTATGACAAACGTCAAAATTGTCTTGATATAAAAGAGAGAATAGGAAAACGGCCGAGTTTAAAAAAATTTAAAGAGATTCAAAAGAGGTTCTAGGGTCTAATTCGATATGAACCATTAGAAAATTCACATATATAATCATAAAAGAATATATGTACCATACCGTATAGTACAAAGTTCGTTTTTTTTCTGTGAATCAAAATGTCGCCATTGTCAAACTACTTAACATATTATTATTACTTTATTCAACAAATATCAACAGCATTTTAGTATTATATAATTTCTTCTGACACTTCATTGCTTTTCCAAAAGATTAATTTGCTCCTTTCAAAGAAATTGAACTTAGAAAAAAAATGAAACCATACCTCTTCGGGTAATCAAACGTAGCTAATTGGTAAAGAATAAGACCGCCTTCCTTAAGTACTCAAGACCAGTGCGCAGGTAACTATCATTTATTCTTTTTCATGACATTTAAGAACATTCCTATTGAGCAAAAAGCTTTTATTATACTTTAAAATGAAATAGAACAAATTCATTGACATTTATTGTAGATTCATCACGACAGACTAATAACATTATTATAACATAATATCTATTTAAGTATAAATTAAATGTCAAGTCTTTTATTCATATTTCTGCATTATAACAAAAATTTAATGTGTTAATATTTATAATATCTTCAGTATCAGATTCAAAATACTAGTATGAGAAAGAATAAATGAATGAAATAGAAATCGTTTTCCTTCCGAATTGTATTTGTATATTCTATCACGAACATGCAAAAATGAAATTCTTTAATTATAATTTTGAAATTTTTATTTCTGTACCACTTACATATTTAATTAAAAGACATTTTCTCTTGTTAGCCTTGAAATAAATTTTTATTGAATAAGATACAAATATTTATTTTTTATATAGAACAAGTATATATCATTAATACATTTTAAATAATGAATTTTAATATTATATTTAATATATTATACAATATACTATCACGAACTATTTTACGTAAATTTAACTAGTTAATTAATAATTTATCCAATTATTTTGTAAATACTTTATTTTTATATTATTTCTTTAAATTATAATGAAAGAAATTTTAACTTTTAAATTACATTTAACAAACAAGACAAAATGTTTTTTTCTTATATTAAATTTTATTAAATACTCTAAGTAATTATACATTATAATTAATATTTTCATTATTCATGTTTAAAAATGTAATGTTAAATTTGAAAAGAAAATATATTTAGGTTAAAGATTGTATTACTAATCATCAGTTTTCAAATTGTAAGTTTAAGTTTAAAAACGCTTAAATTTCTAATTACAAAATTCAAGAAAATGACTCGGATTGTTTAATTTCAAATTTACTATTTTCTCTAAGTATTATTATTATGTGCCATAAAAATTATATGTGATTACTTCCTGTAAAAGTTAATTGTTAAAATATGCATGTATAGAATAAATTGCCTTACTTTTTATTGGTTAAAAGATAAAGAGCTGTGGCTGTGCCTATAACCTCTTGCATATCGCTACCGATGATGGCTATTTCTATCATAATCCATAACATCAGTCTAGGCAATTTTTTGTATTGTCTGTAACACATTTCAGCCAGATGAAGACCTGTTACAACGCCAAGCCGTGCACTCAATCGCTGCATAACTAGGCCGAGAATTGTTGCACTCAATAGTATCCATAATAACTAAAAAAAAGGAATTTATTCTACATTCATCCTTAAAATTAATTTGGTATTGTTAAGAATAAGTTTTGATTAATAAACTATTAATTTCAATAACATTAAAATAAAAATAATAAATTACATAGATTAAATTTCAAAAATACAGTATAAATATATATATTATTTATGTTAATAATGGACAGCATTTGTAAATACTACAACATACTTCATACTTATTCAACTACATACTTCAACATTAAAAAATTTTGTAACTATGTGACAAAATTTACTGTATATTATGTATTACACATTATATTATATATTATAATTCAATTAGTTTACAAAAAATGTCAACTTTAGTTTCTATTCTTTAATTTCATAATAATTTAATTCCATGCAAATTTCATATATACTTTGGTATTATTAATAGCAATTATTCAAAAATTGAATAATTCAAAATGTGTTAGAAAATTATTAAAAAATTTTTCATAATTAAAGTATTGCTTTGGCAAAATTAAAGTACAATATCAGCAAATAATTTCAGATTTTACAATATAATGCATTTATTATTATTGACATGACTATAATTAAAACTATAATGAATATAAAATAGATACAATATTTTATAAAAAATTATATTAAAAAATAAACATTAGAGAATAGTAATATCTCTGTATACATTTTATGATATAACTTTAAATAAAATATATATCTTTAAAGTCGAGTTCAATTAATTAAAGTTCAATTAATAAATATTATAATTAGTAACGCGTGTAATATAATATAATAAGATTTATTAAAATAAATTAAATGTTTTAGTATTTATTATTATATAAATATATTTACCTTATATCGTGCAATAACTCCAGATTGTAAATCAGATTCTATGTTTCCTGGATCTAAGTAAGCTATAGACATTAAAAATCCTGGTCCAGTAAAAGCCCATAATTTTCTAAAACTAAAAAAATCCTGAAAAACAACAATAATGAATTATTTATAATAATATATAGACTATACTATTTTTATTCGAAGTCAAATAAGTCTATAAATACTGAGTGTTATAAAAAATTAAACGTAATTTTTATCTTTGAATCAAACAAATAAATCTATTAAAAATTCCATTACTCAAAAGAATAGAAATTACAAGCAAATACATAAAATTTATATAATCAATGTTTACATGAATGTAACAAACTGATTTAAAAGGTATATACTATTAATGATCCAGTTGGAAATTTCATTAGATTATAAAAATAAAGATAAATAAATGTTTTAAAACGAATGTAAAAATTTAATAATTTTTATAAAATATAAATATTTAAATAAAAAAGGAAATGTTTATGTGATTATTGCTTACAATTCATTCTCAATACAGATGTCATTCCTAAATTAGAGATTTTTTTGTATTTTCTAACAAAGAAATACATTTCTTTACATTCCTTTACATTCTATTGTCCTCTAAAAAGTTTATTTATGTATACTTTTACATAATTTTAAATATTGTATAATAGCCATAATCTCGTTATATTTCCCTCTACTCTTATTTAATATCATAAATTATTAAAAACATTTTTTATTTAAAAATCAAAGCATATAATTTATTCATAGCAATGAATAGTATTTATTAGCTTAATTAAATTTTATTAAAAAATAAATTATAGTACATCATTTTTTATGTTTTTATTTAAGAAGTAACTCATTTAAAGAATTATATCATGATTAAAATTAGTGTCAAATCGAAAGTCAAAACAAATAATTTGAAAAAAAACAACTTTTTTTCGATAAGATTTGATATCTCGGAAATAAATACAAGAATTTTTTTAATAAAGCAGTAGAAATGAAATGAATGCTTAGATATTCAAAAATTTCTGATAATAGATTGCATACTTTAAAATAACTTTTTACAATTTTGTATACAAGATATAAAATTATTTTGAAAAGAATAACAAGACTTTCGATGCATACAATTTTTGGAATATTGCGTATAAAGATGTGATAGATGAGATTTAAAAATTTTCTTATCAGTAACATGAAATTAAATATTAATTATGAATCATATCACACTATTAATATATTTTATTTATACAAAAAAATATAATTTGGTGTATGTTTATAATGTTATAACGAAGGGTTGATAAGAATTGCATACAAAATTCAGGAAATATTGAGTATCATATGCGTAAATATCATCCCTTTTATACGCTTCATGAAATCAGTTTCAACTCTGAAAAAGTATAATTTTTCAATAAATTATTGTTGTATCAAAAGAAATTTTAAATATGAATTTTAAATGGCAGATAAATGCATTTAAACGTTGAGATAATAATTGACATCAATATACTCGAAAACTTCGATAATTATACAAAATTGTATTCTATATTAGCGTTAGTAATAATTTTATAACTTATATATTAAGATTATAATAATTTGATAATGAAATGATTGAATTTGGAGTTATAATGTTGTTAAATATTTCAATAGTTCTTTATATAAATAACAAAAATCCGTTACTATATAAATATTGTTAGTAAAAAATAAAAAAATACATTTTTAATAATTTATTTTTACATACAAATATCAAGAATAAAATGATCTGTATCTCTTATTAATTTCTTTTTATATTTTTTAATAAACTTATAGTACCCGGTGTTTTAATTTAAATTTAAAGAATTGATGTGTGCTAATAGTTTATTTTATTTTTAAATAACAATCTGAATAATTGTAATTAAAATATAATTATAAAGATTAGTAAAAATTACCATGTAATATTTCTAATTAACATACAACACCTCTAAAAGCTCTGTAAACTAAAGCAAGAGATCTGCAAAGCTACGTATATACATTCACTTCCAAAGAACTAGAGGCCACTTAGAAAAAATTAAAGAATAATTAGTAAATTAAACATAAAGTTTAAAAATTGCTTTATGTGTTGGCTCATTATTTTAATAAATAACTTTCATAGATTTTCAATCTAATTAGAAATGAAGTTCTAAGAAGTTCTAATTATAAATATCCAAATAATTAATCAGAAATAATAGGCAAAATGTTAACTACGTTGTAAACTAAAAAGTCAAGAAAAAAGAAAAATAGCTCACATCAACATCCGGTATCTGGATCCTCGCATCAGCAAAATAGGTTTGATTGGCATTGGGTAATGTGCTCTCATTAGGCCTAGCACTTTCGCCTACGTCATTCTTGATTGGTTGGATGTTAATAACATCAGTCGAATCTCCAGTTGCAGTATTTTCCCGGGTCAACCCTTTATTCGCTGCCATGATACCGTTAATGCACACTGCGAATCAACACAGGTAGTGAATATTTCTCTCACCAAAAAATTCCGATTATGTGCGAGATACTTGTATTATCTTGGTGATGCACTGGAGTACATTAGACGTGAAAGATAAATAATTTTTATGTGGACGTTCATTAAGCTTTATTGCCCGGAATTTAGTGAAATAGCTCAGATAATATTGTGTTATCAATAAGTTGAATTCTGAAATAGCTTAAAACTTATTTATTTTCACATATAAGTCACATTTGTGTGAATTCAATTTTCTTATTTTTTCGAGAGAATACGATTTTGTGTTTAATTAAATAATTATTAAATTTAATCTTGCTTTTATCGATTGGCTTTTAGATTGGAAAATGTGAATAAGGAAATATTTGTGTTGTGCCTTAATAGTACACATAATATCTACTCATGATCTATATATTTTAAGCTGAAATATACATATGTTTAAAAATTTTTATCTTTATAATTCTAACAAGTTATAAAATATAATTATTGATTTATATTTTTCGCATTACGTAATTTTGTTTCGTTTTCTCTCTCTCTTTCACTCTATATACACACGTGCACGCATGTGTATGTTCCTTCTAAATTCTTGTAATCGCTTTATTATCTAAAATTTTAGTATTTTTACTTAATAAGAACTCATATCTTAGAACTATGAAAGTTCGTATTTACGTTGATATTTTATAAGTATGAATTCCGGAATTTTATTACCATAAACTTATCGTTAAAGATACATGTTTTACCTACAAAGTATAATCTTTGGTTTTAAATTAATATTTCAAATAATATTCTATATTAAAACGTTTTATTTTTTATTTTTTATGAAAGTGTAACTTTTTTATCGTTACTTCTTTACGATCATCTACTAAATTAGGAGTAAACAGGTTTATTAGCATTGAAATGATAATAGTTCATATTAATGGTGTTCCATTATAATACATTTAAATTTGATAACACATTCAAAATCTAAATTATATAACAGTATTAATTAAATATAACATAATTTAAAAATTTTTTTACTGATTTTCAAAAATGACTTTATTTACTATTACTATACCTTTAACAATAATAAGAATTTTTTTACGTTATTTCAACTAATTTTTTCTCAACATTTTTTATAAAAAAATATAATATATAAGAGAATTGATTTTAATAAATTGTTTCGTTATAAATAATTTTAATAAAATCAATCTATTATATAATTATTAAAGGAATTGTATCTTTATTATACGTTGTCAATAATTATACTAGATACATTTATAATTGTTTGCTACAAACTATATAACTATAATAATTTAATCAATTATTGGGTTGAAATTATATTCTATAAAAATCACCACTCATAATATTAAATATTATTTTATATATTGAAGACAAATAATGCAGATTTAGAAATAAAGAAAAATTTATATATATAACACTTAACTAATAGTGAAATATTTCTTTAATTTTCACTTTCTTTATTATACATTTTATGAATTATCAAGTGAATTAATTGTATCATTTATTAAATAATGGCTTTATTTATTGTAATAAGAACATAAACTTTAATTTAAAAAATTAATATAATTCATTTTAATTAATTGAATTTAAAAATTGACAAAAGCTCATATACTATAAAATGAAAGTTTATTAATAAAATGTTATCTTTATACTATAAATTTATTAAAAATATATAGTAGATGTATAAATATCTGTATTTATACTTATTAATAAATTTGTCATATTAAATTTTACATATCAAAGTATACATAAACTTTCTTTCAGCAATCTAATCTTTGTAGATCTATTTCAAATTATATGGCTCTTATTCATAACAAAAATATTTCAATATTGAAATAAATGATATCAATAAATGACCTCAAATTATTTATTTTTTTTCGAAATTCAATAATGTAATATATTGTCGATAAAGGTTTCAATTTACAGGGTCTACGTTAGAAAATGATACTGTAATTGTATGATTTACAACTTTATTTCAGATATATGTGCTTAATTATTAAACCCAATTAAAAGTGGATATAGTTAAAACAAAAATTTTTCTATAAAATTGTTCATCTTATTTGATTTCAATATATTAAAAATTTTTAATTTATAGTGTAAAATATAATATTTTTTAATACATAGATTTACAAGTTCAAGTTTAAAAATAAAAACCGAATATAAATTTTCTATTAAATATATAAATATAGTTATAGATCAATATGATCATAGTTATAATTTAATGTATAATTTAAATATAGATACTAGCCTTATTTCTAGAAAATATAAATAAATTAAATTATATGTGATTAAAAATTCAATTAAATAAGCACTCAAATTGTCGGTTACAGTGAATACAATTTTTCTTAAAATATCAAAATATATAAAACATAATACGCATAATGATATCAATCTATTTCTACATTATATTATATCTTTCATTTTTATTATTTTTTTTAAAGATATTATTTCTAATAATTTTAGTCTAACTTTGTAATAAATAGAATATAAATGTGAATAAAATACAGAAATTTAAAAATTATTTCATTCTTTACAAAGAAACGTTAATATAAATAGATATATAATTAATGTGTACATTTTTCAGTTTGTTTATAACTTCAATCTATATTAAACATTATATTTTCATATTTACATAATAGTTCCTTATTGTAATGTAATGTTTTTCTTGTGTATAAACACATTATATTAATTAAATATCTGAACTATGATATTCCATTATTTTATGATGGAAATTTATATATCTTAATAAAATTTTCTATATTTAATAATAAAATTATTTGAATGATATTTAATAACTATTGTTAATCAGTAAAATACCATAAATTACTATAAAATATTTATAATAAGCTTTAAACTTGTTTTTTATCTTAAAAGGAATCATAATAATTTTACTAAATTAAACATTTCTACATAAAATTGAATACTGACACAATTACATCATTTCATTTATTCTATTTTTCATAATCTTTATATATTTATTTATATTGATTTATAAATTTTGTAAATTATTGATACTTTAATACAATTACATTAATTTAATCTTTATCTCACAAAAATATAAAGAAAAATTATTAATTAATGGATCTAGATAGATTTTATGCAATTCAAAGATATTTGCATATATAGATAACATTCAATAAAAGCTTTTGCATTAAAAAGAGAATATTTTCAATAAATATAACTGTATCTTATTCTTACATTTTTCACAGAATGCTAAAAACATTATGTACCAATACACTTAAATACAAAGTACATAAATTATAAAACCTATTGTTAATTTATGTAAAATTGGAAATAAATATTTTATAAATTTAAAAAACCAATTTTTTAATTTTTAAATAAAATTTGAATAAAAATATTAAATTTATGCCTTAATCATAAAAATATACATAAAGTATAAACAAGATATAACATAATCATACATAAACATAAATATACAATATAAAATGGTTATAAATCATTCAATTGCAATATAAGAATCAAAATCTTCAAGCATAGAAATAATGTATTAATAAAACTGTTTATTTAAAACCTATTAAAATTACAATATAGTGTAGATTTAAAATTACAAAATTACGTACAAAGATTGATTTATAAAATTGAATTTATAACATTTTAAATATATGTATAATGTCTAATAAAAAAATTAATATATAGATATACTAGTAATGTTATTACATATGATACTTGGCTTCCATATTAATTTACTTTTTGACAAATATATAGTCTATTACAAATATTAATTACAAAAAACCTTTATATAAAATAAAATTTTTATAAAGTTAAAACTGTTTTTTATACCTGAGTTGAATTAATTATTATCAATTATATGCTTTTCAATAATATGATTTTTTTATTAATGGTTATTCTATTATGTATTTAATAATACCTATTAAATATTAAATTATATTTCCAATTAATAAATTCAAAATATTTTCTTAAGATGGGTAATTAATGATGGGAAATTTTATTTTTAGTTGGTAAACTAGAATGTACAATATTATTTACTAAATATATAATAATTATTGCATAATAATTATTATATAATTATTATGCAATAATTATATAATAATTTATTACAAAAATAATATCTTGAATATTAAAGCATTTTTTTTATATAAAGTTTTGATTATGTATTAGGTAAGAAAACATTTGTTACTAATATTGTAGTTATCGATTAAAATAATTTGATTTACAAATTTACCACAACATACTATTATTATATTTAAAATAAAATAAACAAACATACTTTAATTATATTTTCAAAATTATATGTAGAACCAGTATCAGATATATTTTGATTTCCAATAAGCTATATTAAATAAATTAATTTAAATCTTTGAAATATAAATGAAAATTTAAAATAAGAATATACTTACATAATTTCAATATATTAATAATTTGAATATAAAAAACAATCGAAGATAGAAGTTCATTAGCCAGTGTTCCTAATTATACAGTGTTTTCTTCATACAATTTGTGAAAATTCTACAATATTATAACAGAATATTAACCTGATTTAAACATGCTTTGCCCCTTATTAATTAAGTTAATTTTTTTTAACGTAAAAATATTAATTTATTTTAACGCGTTATACCAGTTGTAAACTTCTAATTTTATACTATTAATATTGAAATTGACTATTAATCTAAACAATTTTCGAAATATTCATAACTTTTTGTTCAACATTGACACTATCCACAAAACTGTATTGTGTATAATAGAGAAGGTACAAACACAAATACATTTTAAGTTCTATATTAACGACATAGTTGTATAAAGAGTCAATTATAAAAACGCATCCAGCATAATTAAATAATTAGAAAACTCTAGAAACTATATTTTTCCGAAAAAGATTATGAACTTTCCTTTAGTCTGCATTAATTAAAAATTTCACAGCATAAGCTGAGAAAGTAAAAAACTAAAAAGCAATGGGTCAAAAAATTATATATATATAAAAATTATCATAAATTATAATTTAAGAGAAAAATGATAAAAAAAATCAAGTACTCTGTTGGTGAAATAGCTTCTCGGCTACTCTGTCGGTATTTTTATAAATGTTTATATATATATATATATATATATATATATAATTAGTCATACTCTCATCAGAAGGAAAAATTGTTGTTCGGTCCGCGAATATAGTTCATTATTATTAAGCCAAATTAACGTAATACTGTAATATATAAAAGATCCCTTCGTTTATCGTAATTAAAGTCAACAAACATTTACCAGAATCACAATAAACTGAAACCCAAAAAGGCCGTTTTAAATCTTTCTCAGAATTCTGAATTCTCTTCCTTTTTATATAGTTGTACGAAGTTTTATTTTTAATTTTTCGTGTAATCCTAAATTAATGGCTAAGAATTACTCGTTAAAAAAGTGTCATTTTCACTTTTATGCTCTTTCATAATTTTTTTTTCTTTGCCAAATAAAAGTATTCTAACAGTCTTACAATATATTTATCATTGAATTTTGTATAAATTAAAAAACTTAATTAGTATATAAAGCTATTTAAGTAATTGTTACTAAAAATGATAAAAGCATGTATGAGTCACAGGGAGTATGTTTATCACAGAAACAATTAAGACAGCGTAAAAATTGTAAATATTGTTAAAAAACTTTAAATAATTTTTAATAATGATTAGAATATGTAAATATACTGCAAGTAAATTTTTTTCTGAATACATTGGTATTAATTTGATCATTGTATATGCTATATTCTAACTTTCTAAATTTTAAACTAATTAATTTATATGCAATAGATAACTATAATTCTTTGAAAACAGTATTTTTTTTATATCATTTATATTTTTTTCAGATATATATCATTTATTTAGTTCAAACTTTTCAAAGTATACTTAATTATTAAATTTGCTAACGTTCAAAAATTTAAACATGCCCAATAACTTAGAGCAACAAATAGCAAGCTTACAATTAGATCATGATGAAAATACTATCAAAACAATTAAAGCTTGTAAAAAAGTTGCACCTGCAGTTCCACCAAAGCCAAAAAAATCACAACCACAGGTGAATTTATATTACTATAAATATAAAAAATTATACATAATCACATATCGAATTATAAATTTTCTAAATTATCAATACTAATATAAAATTACTTTATAAAGTCTACTGTTTCTAAAGTTCTACTTTAATGGAGTAACAATAGCAAATCATTTAAAAACTTTTATATTTTATTTCTAACAAAAAATTTAAATTTAATTTTTATTATAATTTGATTATTTTTATTCATTTTAAATATTTTTATTTTTCTTACCTTCTAAATTTTTCTTTTATAAAATTAAAGAAATTAATGTCTTATGAATTGAAAATTTTTATCTAAATATTTAATAATATTTTTGTGTAGGTACCACAAAGTTATACTGTAAAGGCTGCATCAGTTCCATCATATAGTACTGTATTAAATAGTGCTGGATCTAGTGAAAAAAACAATTTATATGTAAATTCTCCAGTTCCATTCATACCTTATAGTATGAGCAAAAATGAATATTCTCATTCCACACTGACAAATGGAAGAGATTCTTCCATATTTTATAAAAAAAATGAAAATTTTTATACCAACAGTATGTACAATTATGAAGATAAACATTTTTACTCAAATATTGGTAACGTTCCAGCACCTCAAGTGCCAATTTTAAACGACAAATTTAATAAATCAACCATAAATGCAGTTTATAGTAATATAGAACCAACGGTTCCTATACTAGTTCCTCAATCCATTCCAAAGGAAAAGGATATTGTTTACAGTAATATCCAATGGAACAAGAGTAGGTCTGAAAATACATACTGCAATATGCCAGCTCAAAGTCATGGTATTGGTAGGTATATTTTTAATACATTTAAAATTATCACATCCACTTTTATCATTGACCATTTATTCTATTTTATTTATTAGTCGATTATTATGATTTTAATTTGATATAAATTTATTACACACATTCTTTTGATTTATTTTGCATTATTTTCTCTTTTATATTTTTATTTTAGATGATTTACCACCACCTCCTGAACCTTCAGAATTTATTACTTGTGTTTCTGCAAATTCTTTTCCCTCTCCTCCTGAGGAACTTCCACCTCCACCAAGTCCTGTATCATCCAGTTATAGTGAATTAAGACGAGCTACTTATCAAACAGATTTTCCAAACGATATTTATGCACCAAGTTCACAATCTAGTTCAACATATGAGTCTATTTATGAGCCTATAAATCCAAGGCCATCATCTCAGTTATCTTGCAACTATTCTGTATACTCTGGATATGGTTCTGCTTCTCAATCACAGGAAAAAACATCTCCAGTAAAAGAAGTAAGATATTAAATTTGCAAATTTATTAATAAAATTGATGATATTGTCTAACTTACTACATAATTTTATTACATGACATTTTTTTTAATGAATTATATAACAATAATAATTTTGTGAAATATTCATAATTTATATTAAAGCAGACCTATTTTCAAATTAAATTTTATAAAATATACAATTTAATTCATTTAATTAAGAAATAATTATGAAATAAAATTACATAATTGATATACATATGTATAATTAAATTATTACTGTTGTTTACATTAGGTCGATGTATTAACAAATCTTCTTGTACAAGGAATGGAAGACAATTCAGAAGAGAATGATATTTATGGTATTTGCGCACAATGTACCAAAAAAGTTGAAGGAGAAGGAACGGGATGCTCTGCAATGGATAAAGTATTCCATATAAATTGCTTCTGCTGTTTTATGTGCAATATTAATTTACAAGGCAAACCATTCTATTCCCTTGAGGGTAAACCTTATTGTGAAGAGGACTACTTGAATACTTTAGAAAAATGTTGCGTATGTACCCTACCAATTTTAGATAGAATTTTACGTGCCACTGGTAAGCCCTATCATCCATCGTGCTTTACATGTATTGTTTGTGCTCAAAGTTTGGATGGTATTCCATTCACAGTTGATGCAACGAACCAAATACATTGCATTCAATGTTTTCATAAGTAAGTATACAAATTTCTTAATATTTTAAAACTATGTCAAAAATATAAATAATTATCTATAAAATCTATTGAGATATTTAATTCAAGAAAAATTATATCCATGTCATGTTAATTTGTACCGTTAGGATACATACTAGATTAATGTAACGTATACCATTAAAAATAATTTCTAGAAAATTTGCACCACGGTGTTGTGTATGTAAATTACCAATTATGCCTGAACCAGGAGAAGACGAAACTGTTCGTGTAGTAGCTCTCGATAGAAGCTTCCATATCCAATGTTATAAATGTGAAGATTGTGGACTTATATTATCATCAGATTCAGAAGGTGGTTGTTATCCTTTAGATGATCATGTTTTATGCAAAAGCTGTAATGCTTCGAGAGTACAAGCTTTAACATCTCATATGACAACTGAACTATAAATATCGAAAATGATTAATGCTTTAAAATAGCAAACTTGAATTTATTAAAGTGCAAAAGTAAATATACTTTATACTTTATTACTACACAGACTTCTATAGTCTATATTAAAATAATTAAAATAAATATGATGAATTCATTGATTTTATTGAATACTAGAATTAACTAATTTTGATAATAGCATATTCAATGGATGAAACAAAACATAATTGAAAAAAATAGTAATAAATGTACTATTTACATTTAAAATATGCTCTTTCCTTATTTTTGAAGTCTTTTATTTACACAAATTATTATTAATAGAATTCTATAAATATAATAAAAAGGGAGTATAACCTTATTTCAATACATTCTAATAGTATATTTAAAGATTTCTAAACTATCAAAGCAACTTGTAATAATATATTTCTGAATACTTCTTTAAAATTAATATCAAATTAAAAAGACTTAAGATATTAAATTTAAATGTAATAATCGGTAAAGGTATAAAAAGTGAAAATTTGAAATAATGTTCTTAAGCATCAAATTTCATAAAATGGATACTTGAATATTGCTTCAAAGCACACTTAAAGAAATGCAACTGAATATTATAATAAAAAAAAACAATTTATATAATTATTGATAGTTCTAAATATAAATTAATATAAGACTTGCAATTATAAGCACCAATAAAAAATGTTAATGTTAATAATCTTATGAACATTACAACAATCCAATTTTTAATAAGTTACAAAATGAATATATATTATTAATATATTTATTACTATTATTACTTATAATAGGAATATTTATATTATTTATAAAAATAATACTGTACTGGCAATTTTTGTTTCAACAAATTAAACTATAGCAACCTTTATAAATTATACATCATAATTTAGATAGTTTAATTAGAATATATGTAAAAACTCCAGATATATTATCGGAGTGATTTAAGGTATGTTTATCAATTTTTGCTACAATAAGAACTTAATTGTAATATTGAAAAATTAGAAATAAAAGTAAATGAAAACAAATTCAGTAATACAACATATTACTTTAATAAATAAACATATATCACAGATATTTTCATCTTTCTTTTATTATTTATTCATTATTAATACAAATTAATAAATAAAATATTGTGAATTAAACTCAAATTTAATTGAATTTATGAAAACTATTGTTTATGAATTGGAGCAACTAAAATCAATAAGTGGTCATTTGTGTTTTTAAGAGATTTAATTATTTTTTTATTCAATGTTAAAATTTATACATTGAAATTGTAAATAGATTATTTAATATATTTTTGAAATATGTACTTATTGTTAAAGTATTTATATTTTAGAAAATATTTGACATAATATAGTGTATAGCGTGTGTATTTACATATTTACACATTTATATTTATGCTTATTTTTAAATATAAGACTACTCATGCAATCTTTATTAGTTTTTTATTTATGTTAGTGTACTGTACGTTACATTGCATAAATTCGTCTGCAATCACAAAATTGTAAGAAAAAAAATAGAACATTACATTATATTATACACATTGTCTCTAGATTCAATAAGAAATAAATATTATTTTTATAATACTGTACTAATATTGTACTGTACTATAAGCTTAATAAAATGGAAATAAACTAATTAAATATATATATACATATAATAAAAAATAGTGTTTGTGTAAATCAAATTATTAATTTTAATTAATAAAAACATTTGTGTTGCATCATTTATATATTTTATTTTAGATAAAATTAATTTTTTTGCTCAAATATTTCTGTAACTACAGTTATATTAATAACTGTATTTTTCATTGCTTGCTACATTATTTTTATTTAGTTATTATTTATTCATTCTAATTAATTTAATTCATAAATAATATAGATGCAACTATCTTTTAATATTTTATATGTGTGTGTGTGTGTTTGTGGGCGTATGTAAATTTTTTATCGTACATATTTTATTGTATATCACTTAAACATGCCATTTATTTTATAAATGTACATAACGCCGTATTTAAAAAAAATTAAAATATTCATTCACACAAATATTTTTTGAAGTCTTGTACATAAGCGATGCATGTAAAACCATTTATATTTATATCCCGTAATAAAAACATTAAAATATTAATTTTTTAAGATTATAAATCTATTATTCTTAATTAAAATATAAGAATATGCTTATATCTAGTTATATTTATTTCAAATTGATTAAATCCAATTAAATAAATTAAAGAAAGGTTTAAAAATTATTAAATTGTTTAGGCATTCGATATCGATTTTTCTGTATTTTTTATATTTATAAAAATGTTAAATTTGATTAGTTTCTTGATATGTAAAAGATAATTTACATTAAGTCATAATCTGTAAATCCTGTCAATGATTATTCATAAAACGTCAATGTTTATTACATAATTTACATTTCATAAAAAAACATTGTTTTATATATTTAAATAATTCATTACATATTTTTATGAAATGTTTTAAATACTTTGAATTTACGATATTTAATTAAACAATAAATATTGTTAGAAATATGATTTTTATTAGCATAGACAAATTAATTATTAATTGAACATTTATAATTAAATATAAGAATATAATGAACGATAAAATGTGTAGAAAAGAAATTTATTCGGAACATAAACCTTTAAAATATCTTTGAATTTTATCATGAATATAAAATTTTAATAAATTAATTCTAACAAATTATCTCATAATATTAAATAAAGAATGTTGATTATAGGAAGAAGGATATGACTATAAACAAAAGAAGTTTTGTAAAACATTTTTTTTGCATATAAAAAAAATTGTTCATGCATTTACACCTTCTCTTGTTATATTTGTATTATGATCGTTGTTTAATAGCTCTGTAAAATGTAAAGATACATAACTTTATTTGATGTTTAATACATTCGATTTTATGTACTTATTTTTTAACCTGCCCGTTTCAGGTTGATTACATATCTGATTGATACAATCTCAAAATGTTGCTTTCTTTTTACGTGCCGATATCTATCTCAATATATTTTTGGTATTATGATAAATATAATAATAAGTTATAATATTATTAATAAAGTAGACTTTTGATAAAGTGGATAATAAATATTTGATATAATTATCATTATAATTTTTATTATATTATGATTTTATTGCATTTTCTTACTCGTTTGTTTAATTTTTAAATGTGAATGAACATTTTGTGTAACATTGTATACAGATTATACTGTAATTTTCTCAGAATAATAAGAAAAACTCAAAAACATTAAAAATAAATATGGTAAAGTTTTAAGATTACCATAGTGTAGTCTATAATTTCTGTTTTAAGTTTATACGAAAATCTTTATCCACTTTATCGTATTGTCGGAATGACAATTCAATATTTCCCAAATTGTTTCCATTTGCATAGAACATAATAATTCGTGAATTAAGTATGTATTTTTAATTATGGAGCACATTTATGTTCTATTTTTATGCTTTTCTATATTTCTAGTTTCTTTATACATAGCTTAAGGATTGCAAGTATCAATGATATACTGCATATATATAATACTATTCCACGTTAAATGTCATGTATTAATTTACATAAATATAATAATCAAGAAATATTAATATCATAAAATAAATACTTTCAAACTTTTTTGCAAAATAAGAACAAATTTTAACACGAATAGTATTTTTATTTAATTTTTTAATAGATATATTTATATATGTTTTTTAAATATTTACTTTTTACTTGCTTGCACACAATATAATCACAGCCACCTATCTTCACATTTGAGTAGATGCATATGTAATCAAGAATTCTCCATAATACATACACATTAATTCGTTAATACTCAAAAACCCCACTGGCATATATTACTAATTAAATATTGCTGAAATTATTGACTGAGTTAGTACACATAATTGAAACATGAACATTTTTTTAGTATTAAGTTTTCTGTATCGTTGCATTCGAGTAAATCGAATATAATATTTTTTTCTAACGATATATTTTTAAATGTTTACATTTATTACATTATGCTTAAAAATTTCCAAACTTAATAAAGTAAATAGTGTATATCGTGAAAGCTAAGTCAATACCAATTACATATACATAAATTAATTCCAAAAAGGATTTGCTCAAATGACAATATTCTTTCTTTCCACGTTAACATCATCAAGTACATGATATAGCTGTGTACAAGATACAAGGAATCAATTATATTTTTTATGTTTTCGCTAAATTTGACTCGTATTTATCCTTAATACCAATGTAATAACGTGCACTTTCACACTGCCAAATTCGGCGAATGGTACTGAGTCAATTGTTGGACTCTTAAATCATTAAATAAATAGAGGAACAATATTCTTGAAACGTTTTCTGTTTTATTATAACAATATTAAAGGCTCTTGGAACGTAATACAACAAACGTTCAACAATACAACCATGAAAACAAATAGAAGGCACTCTTCTTTTTAATAAATTATTATCTTTATAACAACTGACAAATTCTTTAATTCTGTTCTAAGCCATGTCAAATTATTCGCCGTTATTATTTTCTATCATTTAAACACATTTAACATTTTTTATTTTTACTACTATGATAAACTTGATATAATTTCTACGTTCGTTTATGGGTTCTTTTATATTTTTATAAATATCCAGTTTTATTTATTAGCTTTTTCACTATTTAAATAGACGATACAAACTACAATACTTGAAACTGAGCTAACAGATTCTCATTTATTGATAAATGAAATTCATATTTATAACAATTAGATAGATTATTAAATCTTTTACAATATTATAATAATTTAATTATTGTTATTTGCTTGAAAGCTCACAGCCAACACATTTTAATTCATTATTTTCTCTTAAACATCTTCCCATTATTCGTTTTTTTAGAACGGGACTTCCTCGTTTTACTATCCACTATATTTCTAAATAACTAAAAAAATGATTCACAAACAAAATGTAACTATAAGTAATTGATTAAATTAAGAGAATAAATAATTGAATAAATTGAATAAATAATAACATTTGACATAGTGCAAAAAATATAATAAATCGCAAATAGATAATTATCATACTTTTTCTTAAAAAAAAAAATTAATGAAAAAATTTAAAAAATCCATGCACACATGTATATATATGATTGGTGTGATATATGATGTTGCTTTCACGAAGAAAATAAGGACGTGGCAGTGCTTTGGGTAACTGTTTTTTATGTGAAACCAATTTTTTTTTACTTTTTTCAAAAATACTTCAATTTCTTTTTTTTGAACACGTGACAGATCGCTCTTATATTTGTACGTTAGTATTATTATATATTTGTTACTACCATTTTCCAATTCACTACCTAGTCTAGCCTTGCTCGCAAGATTCATATTTTTATTTTCGAGCCTACTATTTCAATATTTTTCATTCTTAAATACATGCATACAATATCGCTAAAAATAACATATTGATTGTTTCTTTTTCTCTATTCAATTTTTCCATTCTTTTTATCTACCTAAGATAAATTGTAATTGATGCCTTCAAATATTTATTATAGATATATTATATAATGTATATATGTAGCTTTGCAATCCATACTATTTGATAAAGAATATATATATGCGGAAGTGTGTATGTATATATTAATGCTTTGTATACATCATATTTGACACTTTTTTATATATTACGTGTTTATCTGTCGTGTGTGTTGTATAAGTATCTCTTATAGATTTAATTATTGTTGTTAAATAATTCAATATAAATATTCAAGAAGTTACCGAGATTTCTTAAATTCTTGACCTACTGTGTTAAATATAAATTATTCGGAGTTTATGACAACGCGATCAAATTCTCGCATCTTATTCCATACAATCCAATCATACTCTTTACATATTTTAATCGAGTGTTAGCGCAAAATTACGAAATCAAACCATGCGAGACGCACATAAGTACGCATACATGTACGTGTCCATGTGCATGTCCACATATATATATATATAACACACGAAACAAGTTTAATTAGCGCTTTTTTAGCCAGCAATCGACAAGTGTAAGACACGAGAAATCTCATCAAGGCAGTAAAGGAGCATTGACGAATGAATCACATCTTAAAGATTGAGCGTTTGAATGTGGCGACAAGCATCGCTGAGATGCTGATCTGATTCTTCAGATGCCTCTTGAGGCGTACCTGGAGGCGTAATCGGTAGCCTACCGACGGGAGGTGCGTCCCCGGCACCACCAAGACTGCCCTCGTCTACGGGCATTTTACCAGTACCTGGCTGGACAACACCGTTTATCTTGTATTTAGTTGGACCGTTGTTTGATTGGCGCAGAACACTTGTAGTCTTGCCGCCGCGAATGGACACAGACGAAGTTGTAGGATATCTGCCACTGCCACTGCCACTGCCACTACCACTGCTACTGCCGCCGCCGCCATTACTGTTACCATTGCCGTTACGCAACTGCTGTTGTTGTTGATGATGAGAGATGTTGGAGGATGAAGAGTTGCCATAGCGTTGGCCACCACTACCACTGCTGCCACCGCTACTCGAACCAAAGAACTGGACCTGCTTTGGGTTAGGAGAAGGTGAGAGATTTGGAAGAGGACGAATCACAGGAGAATATGAGACAGGGGGTGGGCTCTGGCTATCACTTGGCAAGATAATTTTCACTTCTGGCTCACTCGATACACTAATGTTACTATTGTTACTATTGTTACTTATTGTTGCGGTTGCGACAACCGTCGTCGTCGCTGCCGTCATAGAAATTGCATTTGCTATTGTCGACGCCGTTACTGTTGTCGAAGTCGAGTTTGCGATTACCTCAACAGACTCCGCAGTCGTTGACGATCCTATCGTCAGGTTTGAGCCTCGGTAGCTGTTTAGAATCACGCTCTTTCTACTCCCAGGTTGCCTTGCAACCTCTTCTAGACCCCTACGACCCATCTCAGCATATTCGTAGTCTGTTGTCAGAGCCAAGCCTTTTTGCATTGGATGTATCGCATAAGTAGAGAACTGGCTTGGTTGAGCTCTATACAATAAACGCTGACCAGCACGCGAACCCACGATCCCATATTGATAAGGTTTCTGTTGAAAGTAGTAAGCAGCTGAGGCAAGTTGAAGCTGGGGTTGCATGAGTCGGCGCCCGTAGTTTTGATGCGAAAGACGTGCTGGTGGCGTCGGCACTCGAGGATACTTATGATTGGCCATAGAAGATGACATATGACTCGCGGATTGAATTCCCGGGACCCCGTATTGCTTAGGACAGCTCGACGATCGATGGAGGAATGTTGTGCCGGTCACAAGTCCGGGTTTAGTATAATCGCGGAGCTTACAACTGCTGACGCTGAGATCATAAGATTGCTGGCCTGGGGTGGGCAATAGACTACCACCTGAACCGGCCGAGAGATATTGAGTACTCTGAGGGGAATAAAGGGACGCCGGGTAGAAAGACACGGCTCGGTGGTGCTCTTCAGTGATGGTGTTTCCATCACCGGTTTGATGATGGTTTGTCTGCTGCTGTTGTAGATTGGGCTGTTGACTCAGTTGTTGCTGCTGTTTTTGTTGTGGCTGTTGTTGTTGTTGCTGCTGCAGGCTGGAGTGCACGACTATGGGATGGAAGTTGGTGTAGCGATGGGATAGGGAATATTTAATGGGCATTGGGGAAAGCATGGATGGGGTGGGTGGGTCAGCGGTTTGGCAGGTGGATTGGGCGCCACCCACGCATCCACTTCCGCCGCCGCCACTATCCAATGTGGCAGTGCCACCATGATGGAGCTGCTCCGAGAGGCTCGACGTCGATCTAGTATCCTACGATTTCATGTTAGACATTTTAATGTGAACCTGGGCTTCTGGGCAATTATTTGATTATTGGACCAAACAAATAAGACCTTATTGGATAAATAAGATATACCTATCAAATTTTATAGAATAAATTAATCAAATCCACTTGTTATTGTTCATTGGTACGCAAATGCAATACGCCCTATTTAAAATTATTTATATTCTTTTAAGATAGTATATATATCAATATATACATATAACAGTATATTTGGTGAATCGATACAATAAACTCGACGGATTTTTTAATAAACTTTCAATATTAATATTTTACTTTTAATATATTTTTTAATGTTTTCTATAATTTTTAAAAATTTTACTTTACTTTCAATAAAAAGTAATTCGTATAAGCCTTGTTCATCTCACTTTTACGTTAAACTATTATTTGCATATAAAAAATACTGGAATTTAATTAAAAAAGAATACATTCTAAATAATGGTATAAAGTTAATTATCTTCAATTTCGGTATAAGTCCCTCAAGAAAATAAAATTGACTTTCATATTTAAAACTAAAATAAATCGTTTAATCTTATTAAACGCATTTATATTTTTCTAGATCTAATGATTAAGAAAACATTTATTTCAAATTAATTCAAATCAAGAAAAAATGATTTATTTCAATTATTTACATTTCATCAATAAAAACATTATAGTATTTTTTTTTAATTATGTATAAAAAAGAATTTCCAAGTATATAGAATTTTGTTTCTTTTGTTTTTTTTTTGAAAATAATTGAACAAATTATATTATTATTTACGAAAACTAGTTGAAAAATCAAAGCAAATTCAGATATTATATTACTATATTTTAATATTATATTATCAAACGAAATAAAAATTGTTGAGGTTTTTTATCTTTTATAAAAAATATAATTTGATAAGCACAATAATAAGAAACAGATTACGAAAGTCTATATTAAAATCCATATAGTACCTGATTTCGTAGATACCTTATGAAAGCTATACCAAAAAATATTAAGTTTAAAATATTCAGATCATATTAATGGAATATAAAAAAAACTATAATACGACTAAAATTAATTTTAAATAAAAACATGTGACAATCTCATAGGCTTTAATACAAGTTATCAATAAAGTAAAAGATCTGTAGAAACTTAAGTCAAAGGTTTTCCAGCATTATTTGAAACGTCCATTTCAAATATGATTTAAGCTATATTATCATTTATTAATTTTATATGATATATACTCAAGTGGTATAATCATTAATTTCAATAATTGAAAATCAATAATTGAAAAATAAAGAAAAATTACTTTTAATGTTAATTGTATATATTATATTAAAAAATATTTGTATAGTTTTTATATCGATTATTTATATTTAATAATTAATAATATTTGTCATAACATTAAATTTATCCTATCCTTATAAAATAGTGTTTACAAAGTGTAATGTCTTTTTTTTTAAATAATTTTTTTTTAATCTTGGAAGTACTTGTAAAATTTTTATAAATATTTTAACTATTTTTAAAGGAATAATAATAATGAAAATAATATAATATTATAACTGACATCTATCTTGTATTGAATTAGATATAATGAAAATACAACTTCTCAATTGTTAATAAATATTTTACTTATCCTAAGTAGACAAGACATTTAAATAGTTCATAATTGAATTTATCCATAGAAATTAAAAGATAATTTAATGATATTATCTTTCTTCTATTTTAACTAATTTTACTTTTTCAATCTAAATCAACTTTGTACCAATTTCCAAATCAAAGATGCTATAATGCCTTCTTTTTGTCATTTCTCGTGTTAAAAAGAAAGATGTAGGTACAAGTTTTCCGTAATGATAGCAAAAACTGAAATTAAATATATAAAAGTACCTCCTGAAGATTAAACTGTGATTCGTTGACTGATGTTTGACCAGTTAATTCTGGAGAGTAGATGAGTAGTTGCTGATCAGCTGTGACAGCGAGTGGTCCACCATTATGGGATGATGCTTGAGCCGTATGTGGAGATGGTGAATACGTATAGTAAAGGTGTTCCATTTGGGTGTGTGGTGGTAGCCGAGGCAGGCTGTGGGGACCGGCAGATAGGGCACTTGGATGATGATGCGAAGCTGTTGCAGTCGCAGGTCCATAAAAGTGTGTCTGAAACTGTGGTGGAGACGGACCCAAAGACGATGTTGTCGAAGCAGTACTCGTCGCACCTACCCCTGTTACTGTAGCTGTACTACTGTTGTTTGTTCCTGAGCTATTACCACTACCACTTGTCGATGTTTGAGTGCCACTTGTTGCATACAAAAATTGCGGCCCACCAGTAGCAGTTGTTGCTGAGAAATAAGGCTCATACTAAACAGAAATAGAGTAGGAGATCATTCACTGTTCTTGAATATATCAAAGTTCTAATATCAAACGTTAAACAATATGAATATTATTATGTTGCTTGATTTTTCTTTAATAAGTAACTGCACGTGCACTTTTATATTCTTATGTATATGTATAGACATACGCAACCAACCATACACGTCCATTAAAAAAAAAATTTATTTTTACTGCAGTTTTTTTTACCAATTTAATGAAAAAACAAATTTTAATTATACAAAATTAATATTAACAATTTAAATGTTTATGCAATTTTCGCAGAAAATATATAGGCAAACGAATTCTATGATCAATAGTTATATATAATAACAATATGAAGTAAAATACTTATATTTACTATGGCAAGTAAATTCAATCAGACAAATCATTAAAAATCTGCATTAATTACTTATAAGCTATTACAAACATAATATACTAATAAAATAAATATAAAAAACTTAAATCCTCAAAATATAAAATTTAAACTAACATTGAAAGGGATACATGCGACATTATATCATGCTATAAGTGCAATTAAACAAAAAAAATATATATTTTGAAAAGTATTTTCGTGCATGCTTGACACGTTTAGCAGTAACCATGTACCTTTAAACCTCAATACTGTATAGCGTCGAGAAGAACATAAGTAGGCATTTGCTGAGGATTGGGTAGAAACGTCGGTGGTATTGCTTCCCCCATTAGACTGTTTGTCTGTCGAACCGCAACCGTAACGATAACTCATTTAATTCATAAATTCAATGAAGCGCATCCTTTTTTAAATTAAAAACCCAACACATCATGTTCACATTTCTCATTTTTATTTTTCAATACTACACACCTCATCACTCATAGGCTCAAAAGAGTTACAAAAACACTCACAAAAATAAGATAGACTTACCGGTATTGCAGAATACTGATATTGTTGTGGCATATAAAGAGATGGTGCTGGTACTGGGTACATCACAGGCGCAAAAGTTTGATGACTAGTGGTGGCTTGAGGTCCTGAGAAATTAGGAAATTTAAAAAAAATTTGAATGAAATTAATATAAAAATTAAATGCTTGAGTATATACCCTTAAACACATTTGTAAACAAGATAAGTAATAAGTAATTTATATACCAAACACTCCTGCGGCTTGGTACAATGTAGCTGGATCAGTTGATGTAGCTATAGCAGCACTTGGCCCTGGACCTCCTGTATTGTAGTAGGTAACACCACTTGCATAAGGAAGTCCCATTCCTAGAACAAAATGATTTTATAAATTATCTTTGCAAATATTTTTTAGAATTTTTGAATCTCAATTATGGTACTAAATAGTTAAAGAATAAATAACTAAATGCAAATTATTTATATAAATGTTTTCCAACATTTCTGCTACTGATTATGTTTATAAGAAACTACAAGACAATTCTATGCATGACAAATTATATATATATATATATATATATATATATAATTTAACTCATAACTATTGATATTACTATGAAAAAAACTTAGAATTTTATAATCATTCAAACTTATAATTGATAATAATAATAAAGTTATATCTAAACTGACCATTTGTATAATAGTAAGTATTTGTAGGTACTGTAGGAGGAGACCCAGTTCCCCCATCAAATGAACGACCAAATGGCTGCTTCTTTATTGCAGGTGCTATATTTAGTTTTCTTTCTCTAAGTACGATACACTCGGACTGCAAAATCAAATTAATTTATAGTTTACATTAATAAATTTAATTAAACTAATGTATTAATTAATCCATATCAATATCTACTTATTTAATTAAATTAATATACAGTAATAATTGGCAAGTGTGAAATTATTAAGTAATAAACAAAAACTTATATACAAATATATTAATTATTAATTTGAAATGGTAGTTTAATTTGATTACTGTGCACATAATTGTAATTTCTAAAATTAAATAAATTTATTAAAATGATATATTTTTTATTTAAAAACGTACATAATACTAACACTAACCTCTTGTTGAAGACGCTTAGCTTCTTCTTCAGTTTCAAATGTAACAAAACCATAACCTTTTGAAACACCCCCTCGGTCAGCAATTATTTTTGTAGCTTTAACGTTCCCATATGCAGAAAAAAGCTGAGCCAGCTCTGCTTCACTTGTACTTGCAGATATTCCACCAACAAAAATCCGATTCGGCACTAAGGTACCAAATTTTGGTGCTGCCATCACAGTAAGACTTGATACTGATATAGGACTTGAGGCTGGACTAGAACCTTCTGTACCTCCTACAGATGAAACCTATAGTAATTTATAAATTAACTTTTTATTATGAAATTAAATATATTATTTAATTATTGTATTATTATATCAAATACTCTTTTAAACTAATAATTAAAAAAAATTTTAATTATAAATGTAACATGGATTACCTAAGAAAAAAAAAATTTATTTTCAAAATAAAGTTAGTCAATATATTTAATTAAGTCACAAGAAATAGAGAAATTTAAAACAAACCTAATAGAACAAACTATTTTAATATCAAATAGTTACAAGCTTTTGTCTATATCATTTTAACTGTCAGTTAAGTAATAACCAAATCCATAAAAAAACAGTTGAGTGAAAATTAACTGTATATATATATGTTCTTTTAACATGTCACCACTTCAAGTCAAACTAAGCACTTGCAAGCATTTTAAACTGAAAAATAAAAATAAAATATTATATACATATGAAAAAAATTTATATAATGAGAAAGAAGAAATTATATTAAAAATAATGAGACTTGTAACTCAAACAAAATCATTTTTAAATTATATAGCAATTATTTTAGTCAAGTACCAAACTGAATAGCAACTGCAAATCATCATAATGCTAGTTAAAATAAATTCACTCCTACAAAAATAAAATCTGTTATCACATTAAAAGTACCTAATAAACAATAAGCACATAAAACTATGAGTAAGAAGTCAATAAAATAAAGAGATACCTATTATCAATGAAAGGAAAAAAATAAAAAGGAAAACAAAACACGATACATATAAGAATTCGTCAATAGCTAGGATGAGGTCGGCAAGAAAGACAGAGAACAAAAATTAGAGTGCTCGTATTCGACTGTTCCAACGTCGATATAGTACGGAGAAAAAATATAAGGCCTTTCCAGACTTACCATCTTCGTCTGGGATGTTAGTGCAGGTGAATCCATCGACTACAATCTGGATATACGGGATCTCTTAAAAGCTCTCGTCTACTCTCCCTCTTCGGTTGTTCTTGTTCATATGCACAAAAATGCGCTCCCTCTTTTTCTTTCTTTTTTTCCCTCTATCTTTCTTATACTCTCCCACTTGCTTCGTAGTAGTCAGAGGTCCACCGTCCCTTGTCCTCGTTACTGTACAAACGTCGTTACTTGGTTGGTGGACCAGGGACTAGTAAAGACCGATCTGGAGGACTTGTTAAGTAACTCCAGCAACAGAATTTTCTGTTTTTACTCTCGCAAATTTGTTCTGTACAACGAGAGTGTACGCTACTTATGCTAGTTTCACACACACTCGTATACAGACATCATTTTTAAGCACGATGTCTCTTCGTCGCGAGCTTTTCAGCACAGTATACAACAAATTGCAATATCAGTTTAACTAATCTCTTGCAGTCTAGCGCGTTCACAAATGCAAAACAAGTAATAGATCTTTGAGTACATGTGCCTTTGTTTGCACGTGCGTATGTAACTTAAAGAAAATTAACTTTTGCAAAATGGATGACGAGAGAATACACATGCGAGCACTTATGCGCATGCGCGCATCTGACGAACGAAAAGCGTATTTATTATTTATCTCAGCCATTTTCTTATTTCATTTTTTCTCTTTACATATTTGCAATTCATTATAAGATTTCTCTCCTTATCTTCTATTTGATAGCCCCATCAACATTCTTCTATTTTGCATTAATTTTTTTTAAATACACTATGTAATAATATTTAAAGTACAATTACGCAGTTTATCCTCTTCAACCACATTTTTCTATCAATTTCAATTTTAAGCATGAAATTTGCTGCTGCGTTAAAGAAGTTATTAATTTTTATAATTTTATAAATTTTTGCCATTAACATGGATCTATAGGATCTATTTCAAATATATTTGGTACATAATAAATATTGGAAAAAATTAGTGCCAAAAAATATTCTTTAACAATTCTATGTATAAAAATATTACAAATTAATTATTAACTGCCTTCCGTAGTCAAATATAAAATACTCTTCTATTTTAAGAATAAATATAAAAATTATAAATCTCACTAAAATCTATCGTCCATTTGCTAAATTATAAGTTTTCATTATCAATATTCTTTCACTTCTGTATTAGTTTACAAATATTGAAGAATAAATAAATATATTAATATTTTTAATATTTTAAATAGACATTAAATAAAAAAAAAATTAGTTTGAGTAACAAAGTTTATACTTTTTTTTTAAATATATAATATCGTAAACATTTAATTATCTGCATAAGCGGAAGAAATTGGAAGGGATAATGTTTATTTAATAGTCAAGTAAGTTAACAAAAGATTTTATTTTCGACAAATTTATAAAAATTTATATAAAAATATAGAACTTATATATATATCCTTTCATCAAAATATTAAATTTAACACTGAAGTATTAAAGGGATATTAATTTAAGACTTCGTATCTTAATACGTAAAAAATAACAATTTGAAAATGATACAAGATAATACATAAATGAAAAAAATTAAAAATAAGAAAGTTTTTAATTGTTAATTTATTTTTATCAATATAAATTAAATAATACAACTAATTATAAGAAATTAGATTAAATTAAATTTATTATAGTCTTATGAAAGTCTACATTTCTGTTTTTGAATGAAAAAAGTATGCTTTTGAAATAGTGATGTATCCGGCGAGACGAGTGGAAAGAAGTAATATTTCGCAAAGTAAAAATAATTTACTTCATAATAACGTGGCGTAATTTTATAAATAACTTGTCACTTGTATTTAAGAAACTTCTCACCTTTATATGGCCACAAGTAACCGTATCTCACGGCGTCGGAGTAATCTCTTTCAAAATTTGCTGCTTGAACAAGTCAGTAAGACAAGGGTGCGAAGACAATGGTTAAATATCAGGCGCATTAATGTGATCACCTCTGTATACATAAGCACATGAAACAAGAACGAATGATAAAGCACTTAACTCATAATAAACTTGTTTAGCTAACGACAATGATAACGATGGCTTTAGCGTACATGATCAATAATTTGTTGATCTGACAAACTGTGGACTCTAAACTTCTGTACATAAAAAATGTAACACAATTAGGAAAATTGTTTAAAGATCGACAATTTGTGGGGACTGACGTTGATTGAAATATGGTCGCTTACTCATTAAAAATCTGTTATAATTGTAGGACAGCAATTAACCATAAACTCTTCACTTGTGTGTTGTGTTTGATGAATTCAATTTCTGTCATACAGTCTCGTAATCATTCATTCATTCACTAACATATTCTTACAACAAATCTCGCATATTTTTATTTATATTAGAACTGCTGACATCCGCTAGCCTCTTCAAAAGCTCATATTTTATAATTAGTAGCTCAATTATTAATTACACTTATATGTCTCTTCCCCATTACTCACGAGGTAAAACAAATATGCAGACTTTTGCTGAAGTTTTACTTTTTCAGAAAATTTTTGTAAGCCAGGAGACAGGAACGATGTGGCTCTCGTTGATTTTAGTTCTCCTTTCTTGAAATGAAAAGCAGTTAAATGCTATGCTATGTCAAGTAATACTAACCATAAGAGATACTAAGCGACGTTAATCCTTCAATTCAAACATCTATGCGACCTTCGGATGTTTTGATTATGAGGGAAACAGAAGGCTGAACTCTAGCATTTAGTGAGAATTGAGTTAATGTCGAAGTTATATATAAATATTACTATTCCATGTAAATTAGAAATACACTGAATTGCAAGAGAGTCAAAACTCATATTCTAGAATATAAAATAAAAATATCAATATTAAATGATGCACTTAAATAATGCAACATATACATAAGAACAATAGAGTATAAATCGTTACATTCTTAATCAAGAATTTATTCATAATCTGATATTTTAAGCATAATGATTTCGATGATTAATCAATTAATTTATAAAAGAAATTAAAAATATTTTGTTTTATGGAAAATAAATTATATATATAAATATAAATATATATATATATATATAACCAGTATTATTTCAAAATAATTTATTTCTATTTTAATCAATAATTTATTTATATATATATAATATATATTGTACAATATATATATATATATATATATATATATATATATTGTATATTGTAAATCATATATATATTTTATTATATTTATTTATTATATATATATTTATTTTATTATATATATTTTATTTTTTATTGGTTTTGTTTACAATAAGAGATAATTCATTTTGCGGTCATACAACTTGTATTATATATGATTTCAATTTTATTTCAATTGAATATTACCATACTTAAGATAATTATATGTATAATCTGTTTTATTTAACAGTTTTATAAGAAAAAATTATTAATCATTTAAATAAAATAAAAATTTGTTTAAACAATTCACTTTATATACTTTAGTATCCTCTTTATACTAATTGATTATTAATAGCTGTAGTCATTATGTTTCTCATTATTGAACTTTTACTAATATTTTGAATATTGTGACTTCAATGTTTCAATTTAATTAAATATCTTACAGAGATTAATTTGTTTCTATGAACACAATTCAATTCATAGTATAGAAATTTGTAATATATAATACACTTTCAATTGATAGCAATAATCAATTTTTATATGTACTTTGGATAAACATTGTATTACGTGTAATACATACATATATGCATTTAATACACATCTACGTCACACAATTATGAACATTCAATATTGCTATTTTCCTTCATTTATCATTTAAATCTGATTACTGGTCATAAATAGATTGACATAAAATACAATTGTACTTCATGAGTTTCTACAATTTTTTTACTGAATCATTTATATGTTTTCAAAAAAATAATAGTATTTAATTATAATATTAAACACTTGCAATAAGTGAATTTCATGTTGCGTTTTTTTCAAAATGTTATATTTGAACCATCAATTTATATTTTTATTGAGGTTTTCTTCGTATATATATTATAAAGCTCCATTATATCTTATAAAGTTATCTATGATACAGGATAAATAGTTTACAAATTATCATTCAGCAAGAAATTAGTATAATTTCAAAAACATATTATTTGAACATGCATTGTTTATCTACAATAATCTTATAGATTCGTATGTCTTCTGAATTATTTATAATTCATTAATAAAAATATATATAACAATCTGTATTATTAAAATATTTTAGTATAAATAATAATAATAATACATAACATAATTTTTAATTAAAAAAATTAATAGAAATATAATTAAATGAAAAAATAAAAAAGCATAATTAGTTGTTTTATATATAGTATTTTCAAACAAAATTGAAATCACGAAACCGAAAATCGATTTACATTATTAAGTTACATAAATATTAGCTGATCTAGTAGAATTTTTCTATTACATATAATACATTACATTTCATATATCACAAATTATAAGACTAAAATAAAATGTACGGTAAAACGAATGTAAAAATTTGAAATGAAAAAATATAAAGATATTGGAATTTTTTATACATAAATAATAAGTGTTACATATTTCAACCACGGATAGAATTTTAAGCGAAATGTTACGTTCTGATACAAACAATTGAAAATTTTATTTATTGAAATAGATATAAATATAAATGTAAATTAAAAATGAATTACGTTAAATATTTTGAGTAAAATTGATTGCATTTATTCGATAAAAACTAAAATTAAATAGTACTGTTGTTGAAATAAGAATTTGACGTAAGATTAAGTAACATCTCGACTTTTTTATCTGTATAAGAGTATATACGTAATTTTCATAACTAACTATTTAAAATATTCAATATATTTTTTAATAAAATTCAAGTTATTTAATTACAAATTTTAATAAAGCATTTCATGCATTAAAAGACAAAATAATCAATTATAAATTAATATAGTTAGAAAATAATAATCTTTAACAGAGTTTAAATTTTGATAGTTTAGCAGATTAACAATTCAATGATATAGTAATGATATAAGATGTAATTTAAATTTTTCGAAACATACTTTCTCTTTTTGAATATATATGTAGGCGATGCATAATTTAATCTTAAATAATATTACTACAAAAGAACAAAGGACAGTGGTTCGGGAATAAAGATTTTAGTTGGCTAGATATATTTGGAAAATATTCTGGTTTTCTTATCAAATTGAATTACAAATTATTAATGTATAATAATATTTTAATACCCTCCATGTCAAATGATAGTCTAAAAGTTATAAGAACATCGACTGTGATAATTGCACCTTTAAACAAATTTTAATTTATACTTTAATATTCCTAAAAATATTATTTATATTCAAGTATATCTGTTGTTATATTAGAGGTAGATAAATAAATAATTTAAATCATTGTAATCTTCTTAAAATGTTTATTTTAAAATACAAAGTAATTCACTCTGCTTATAATTTTTTAAATACTGTATAGATTAAGTATCGACATTTTTGGAGGATTGAAAAACGGGATCATCTGGTGAATAAAACGGGATCTGTTTTTAATGTGGCCTGACAATTGTAAGAAATATTTACTGTTTGCGAATAAGTTACATCATAATTCAATCAATCAGTACAATCAATCATTGTCTTTTTCTCACTTTTATTTTTTCAATTATCTCAGATTAAATTTACACATTCTCTATCGAGATGATGACCATAATTAAAAAGACACAAGCACAGCGCTCATTTTCGTGGAAAATAAAACGTTGCGCACGTGATAAAGATTTAAAAGCTTATCTAGTGCTCAGTAACATACACTGTTATGCTTTTACAAATATCTTGATTTACATTCGAAGAATATTATATCTCTTTGTGCACGCGCGCGCGTGCACTTACAATTCAGGCGCGTGCGCGCGCAAAAAACATACACGTTCAACGTTTCTCTCTACAAACGTTTACTTTGGTCATTTTGTTGCAATTGTTTACAGTATATAATTAGCCAGTCACGTGTAGTTAAGAAACCGTATATATCGCCATATTTTTTTACTAATACAAAAGTATTCTCCAATCCAATTTATCATAACTTTTAAATTTTCATTGTTTGCTTCTAATTTTTTAAATGTACGGGTGTCCGTAATACAAATGCAGTATTAATACTCAAACATTGCTTAAATGAGTAATAAAATTTTATTAAAATTAAAAAGAATTCTATAAATTATTGGCGTAATAAAGGGAAGGTAGATAAATGTTTGTACGTATAATACCGTTCAAAGAGATAAAAATAGACAATAGCATGTCTTGTAGAGAAAAAATCAGCTTATACGAAGTCTACTCCTCAAACTAAGTATAAACGTATTAAAAAGACACTGGTGTTAATATATATTTATAACTACACATAGAAGTGCATGTATGTGTGCATGCATGTATTAATGTGTATCAAAAAAGTTAAGTACATACATGTTTATTTATCTTGCAGCGTATCAATGCATTCGTGTACACGTAAGAATAATTTTGGTTGTTGTGTGCGTGTGTCATGTACAAGTTAATCATATATCAAATTCGATTAAATTACACATCTTTGTTTCTTGTTCATTTTTAAATAATGATAAAAATAATAATTAAAAATAAGTCAATTCAGTAAAAAATATGGAATTGCCAATCAACGCATAATATACATTCAAATTTTTTTAAAAATCTTTAGTCTAGGCTTTCTTTCAATTAATTCGCGCGGGCATTTATGTGTATCAATTGCTGCGTGTTTTTGTATGTACATTAAACATGTTATACAACAATGACCACTTTATCATTCCATTTACCTTTTATGTTCTTTTCATTTCTTAAATAATACGATTGCAACATTGATAGAATGCAAATTAGTTATTATATAAATTAAAATTATAATTAAGTGTAATATTGGTTTTGTAATTGATCAAAAATAGAAAGACGAATTTTAAATCGCCAATGGAATGAAAAAATGACGAAACTTTCTTGTCTCTGTTCTTTACTCCCTTAGGTTGCTCTGCCCTCTCCTCCCTTCGAATCTCTTGCATATTCTGTTCCCGATTCTCTTGAATTTGACTATAAAATATATGAAACGTAATAAATTTACGAAATAATATTACATAATGCAACAAATAAAATATAAGCGAATTTTCAACTTTGCACATTCGTATTCTTTAAATATTCACGTTATTATGTATTTTATCTTCTTAACAACAATATGCGAAAGCATCGAGATGGTTTTGTTTTAGCTCATAGATTTTCTTTTTAAGGGCGTGATCCTCGTGTAGCTTCTTCCATTGCACGAACTTTGAGCTCGCGCTCACGTTGTTGTCTAAAAAATATGATTAACTTTTAGTTTCCATCATCTTTCGGTCATTATTTGATAAATGAATGATTATAATGTATTTTTTTATTATTCCTATTGAAAAATCCGAATTTAACAAATTCTCTAAGACTCAATTAACTTTATAATATTTTATACAAATTTACTAATCGATCTTCAGCAGGTTTGAACTAATTTTTTTCTAAAATACCATCAAATTTTTATGGAAGATTAGGCAATTTACCATGTATACGAGTAATAAATTATTCTTGAGTGAAGAATGTTAATTTTAATCTGGATTTAACAAAATAAAACCAAAAATTTTTATAAATACAAACTGTATATTCATTTAATAATAACAATATACCTATATTTTAGTTAACAATATTTTATTATTAAATAATTCTAACACATTTCTGTTTAAATGTATGTTATTGTCAATTATTATTAATAATAAATTTAAAAATACTATTATTTAATTTGATTATTACAATCATATTCCAACCAACACATCTTTTAAAATTAAAGTAATTTCAATTTATCACAGTAGTAGGTTATGAATATTTAATTTTTATTATATTTAAAATTAATAAATAATATTAAACACGAATGTTATTTAAATTCTTTCAAGATTAACTTAAAAATTTAACTATAAAAATTAAATAATATGATATAAGCGAATTATAACATACTCTTTATATTATATTATTATACTACATAGTTATTAAAGATATTGTTACTCAAAATTTATTATTAATTTTATTCCTATCGTACATGAAAAAGCCACATTTCCAAGCATGTATTTATTTGATTCTCGACAATTTCATTTTATTCTACATCATAGGCTCTTAGCACAAAAAATTATATTATTAATTTTATATTGAAGACTATTAAATTTTTATGCGATTCTATAGATACATTAAAAATTCATTTCCTTGTGTTAAATTTATATTTGTTTATGTAATTTCTTTTTTCATAGACTAAATTTTCAAGTACATTAAATGATATATATCTCTTTATACAACTATTTACATATAAAGAAAATTATTTATATAGATTAAATTTGTAAAACGATAATCGGTAAATATCATTACCTAGTTATCAATCTATAAATACAAGAGGTTATGTAGTAGTTAAAAATAAATATATAATAATTATAACATATATAAAAACATATATAACATATATATAGTAATATAAATATATATAACTTAATAATTTATAATATTAATGTATCTAAACAATCAATGATTTAAACATTTTTATAAAGGTTTTGTCTTTGAATACAGGATTGTTGTCTGTTTTTTCGTTATGAATTTTTAAATTATATTTTATTATATTGTAAGTTTAAGAATGTAAATAAAAATTTTAATGTTTTTGTGTTACTAAATTAATTTATACGCATACAAATTTCCTTAATTTGATTACTTTAAGATAATTGAACTTTTTTATAAGTAAACGATAAAATGAAAAAATGTAACATTAATGATTCTATTTATAAGCTAAATTTGTTCATATATGTAGATTAAAAATGATTTTATAATTACATTTTCATTTTACAAAGTAATTATGAACATTTTTATATAAGAGTAAATAAGCATAATCAAAAACTATAATTGGAAACTATGTAACTATAAACTTGTAACCATAAACAATGTAAACTATACATTGGAAAACATATATAATCTTATTTTGCAATTATATATGAAATAAAGTGTAGCCTTAAACTTAAGATTTTGGAATAGCTATATACTACAACATGGAAACCATTAATTTAAAAAATTATTTTCGTATCGAAGTAATAAACATTTTATTTATATTTTATCACAAGTAAAGTTCAAATAGTATAACTGTTTAGAATTTTAAATTATAGTAAATGATTTATAGATATGATATTAAATAAATTGAGGGCTCGTCGATGATCTAATTCATTTTAGACTCTTTGTACTTTTATGTTGAGAAACTTTGTAACCATGACTCGCGACTCAGAAGTCTAAAACTATTACCATATATAAACTAATAGTGAGTATGGTGTTGAAAATGCGATTACTACGATATCCGGTATGGTAAAATTCAATTAATGCGATGTTCTGCTCTACCTTTAACCCCTCTATGTTCTACATCTTGCGCTGATTGGTTTGGTTAATTTTCAGACGAACACCCGTATTCAGGGGGTGATACGTGGACACGAGTTACACGAACCTTATGTACTCTTCGTGATGGGCAACGAGAGAGGCATGAGGCTGGAAACGGTCACGCTCCATCATGAGATGGCGTTGTAGCTGTTCATGGTGAACTGCCATATCGGCATAAGGCCTCCCCAGGAGCTCCGCTGGATGCAGGGCGAGGGTTGGCTCCCGACCCATAAGACCTGGCCTCGGGTAGTTGCTACCAGCAGCTGTTGATCACGACGTTAAGTGCATATCATGAAACAAGCCAAAAACATGGGAGGGGGGAGGGCTCCCGCTTTAGTGTAGCTGTGGTTAATTTATTCTATTTTACTTGCTGATTATTACGTTTTTATTTTGATATTATTATGAACCAAAAAAATAGCTACTTCACGGGCAAATATTGCTTCGATTTACATATTTCCATTTTTGCTTATTGGTTTTGATCGATTTGTAATATTAAAGATCCATAAAATATTAAATAAATATTTGCAATTTCATATATAATTATTGAAATTTATTATAGATTTATTATTTGTTTCCAAAATCTATAAGGTCAAGATACATTTTTTTTCTCATAATAATCACAAATAGACAATAAACAACAGCAAAAACAGCTGGTTATAATAGTATCGAGTTAAGATAACTTAAAATTAACAAAACAAGAAAAAATAAAAAAAAACAAAGTAAATATAAATATTAGTGAATATTTGATAATGTGATCATAATGTTAAACTAGTATCTATTTTTTATTAAACTTAAAATTAATAAGTAACATTGATGTATTAGTATTATTAATGTTACAAAGTTAAGGACAAATATAATCACAAAGATTAATTCATTGTAATCAATTAAAACAAAAATCCCATTGTAATATTGATATGTTGAAAACAGTACTACTCAGTAATCAATATTGATTAATATCACACAAAATATAAAAATAAATAATAACAATTTTCCAACAAATATTAAGAAAAAAATAACGTAGATAAAAAAGGGATGGAAAATTGACAAAAATATATAAATTATGTAAAATTACTTAATGGAAAATTCAGCATTGACGCTTGAAAAGCAGAATAAATTAGTTTTCTTTCTAAAATAAAAATATAAAAAATAAGTATTTTTGTGAATTAAACAAGACAAACAATTATATTATTTAATAATAATTTTAGTAAATCATTATTAAATTATTATTTACAATTGAGTCGTATGTCTTATAAAGTGTTCATTAATAAATAAATCTAAAGCGTTGACATTATCTTAAATATTCTCTAATATTTTATAAAACACTTAAGTGCATTTACTTTTCAAGCATAAACACTATATTCGTTTTGTAGAAAAAGTACAAATAAGTTTGTAAGAAATTGTGTGCAAAATAATATTAAGATGTTATGAATGTGTTTTGATTGATAGATTGTTAATTTAACAGTTCTAGCTAATGAGCATAAAAAATAAAAGTAAGCGTATAATTATATATAAAATCGTAATAGTAATTGAAATATAATGACGAATATCATTAGAAAAAATTATACTTAATTAAAAATATAATAACCAATAAAATAAACGATTAGATGCGCTTATAATACATACATCGATATATGTATTTTAGTAATTACGTTATATTCTTATATATTCAGTTCCTAGTTTTTTTACATAATTATACATTTACTTTTCTAATATACTGTACTGTAATATAATGTTTTCATTTGCACTGCAATTCCTTAAGAAAGTGCATTCAAATTTCAAAAGAAACTTTTAAAAGAAACCTCTAAAAGATCATTAAAAACACTTGTTCTGTAACAATGTATAAATTAATTTGTCTATCCATGATATTTTTGAATTGAAGTTCAATAGCTATTTAATGCAACAATATAGAAAAGTTATCTAGGCTCAATAATATATATTTCTAATAGTTGAATTGGCTCGTTTAAATGTTTTAGAATTCATATCGATTTTAAGCATACGAAAATAAGAAGTTATTCTTATGCATTTGTATTTGGTTTCATTTCAATATTTAGACCTAAATACGCATCCTTGCTGGAGGTCGCATAATTAGGTGCAATATTTCAATTCTAAAATGGCGGTGCCATACATGCTGAAAGCCGATATTTCATGTGGTTGGCTGTAAGAAGCACAAGCCGCAAGTATAAACAAACGGGCGTGCGCAGTCGCGAAAGCGTCATCGTACCGGGCAGAGGGAATCCTGCGGCTACGGCCGCCGCCTCCTGTTGTTGCTGTTGTTGCTGCTGTTGCTGAGCTGCTGCTGCCTGCTGTTGGGCTGCTGCCTGCTGCTGGCCTGGATGTAAATGGAGGTGTGTGTGGGCGTGGGTATGCGCATGGGTATGGGCATGATACTCTGGTGAGATTCCAGCCATTTGAAGGCGTACCATCGGATCTGCAGCCAAGGTCAGTCGTTCATCCAACTGGCCGTGTGTATGACTGCTGGGATGTCCCGTCGTGCCCGTCGTTGGTCCAGTGCCTGCTCCTGTAGCTATCCCTAAACCCGACATCGCTTCCATCACAAACATACTTCTATCATTTAAACGTACTGGAATGCCGTAGTTCATCCCTCGCGGGGGGTCACTTCAACCCTTCACTGCCGCCACGACCACAACTCTGGTATTCGTTTTGCTTCTCATCGAAACTTCGCTTCTGCGTTATATACGCACCTTTTCTTCGCGCTCTTCTTTATTAACAACTCGAGATATCATATTTCTTGGCTCAAGAGATAATTTCTTGCTCTTTTTTAATTTGAAATTGATTGTATAATATTTAATTCAGTATTCTTGGAGTTTGTCCACTTTTACTTTTAAAAATCATTCAATTATAAAATTAAATTGTAATAGACAAAACAGATATGATCCATATTGAATTACTTTCTTTGCAATGTTTTTACTATTTTATATATAAGATTTTAAATATATTAGTTATATACTTTGAAAATGACAATTTTTAAGTCAAAGTTTTTAAATTGATCGCTTCATTTTTATGCATTGTTAAATGATATAGAATAATTTATTTTGTTAGAATAAAAAATTTAGTATTCAATTGTAGGAACGTAAGCTTATTACATAAAAAAACTTAAAACATAAATAATTAAAAATAGTTTATTTTCTTGATAAACAAATCCTTTTAATTGATATTCCAAATATTTTTAGTAATTTTTCTTCTTGAGCCAAAAAGATTGTTTTTTTTTTTAATATATAGTATAAATCGCAATATATATTATACAATATTCGAGGTTTTATGCTTGATTGTACAAAACTAATTTTAACTGAGTAATATCAGAAAGATTAAATGTTTAGAAATAAATACAAATTTAGTGAATCTTAAAGGAATAAGGACTCAAGATTATGTGTTCAAGAAAACCGATAGAAGTTTTGTATTGAACAAAAACGTGTGAAATAATATCTATATAAATCTCTATGTAGATTTCATAGGCCTTATTAAATTTTGAAACTTGTATATATTATTTTATTTTGTTTTAGCAACATTTAGGTAAAATTAAAAGGATAATAATGTTAGACGAATCAATAAACGATGTAATATTAAAAAAATGCATTTATGCAATGAATAAGTTTATTCAAATTATAAAGATCAATTTTTAATCAATAATATTATTTTATCCTTCATTTGTTTTTCTTTTATAATTAATGAAAAGCCATACACTTTTTAATATAAATGAATGACATTATAAATTAAATTGTGATATTACTCAGACAATTTTTAACAATCAATTTTCACATAACTTTTACATCTTTTAATGAACTTTCACATAACTTCTACTTAAATAAAAATAGTATTTGTACTAATAAATTTTCGTGTAACCAGTGTATTTGCTTTGAAGTTGATTTCAATTTGGAGCACTTTGCATGAAAAGTAAATCCACATTATCATATTTAAAATGTCAGTTGACTATATAAGAAATTTAATATATGTATGTATATATATATATATATAAATATATAAATATAACTTTCATATAGAGCATTCATTATTAAATAAATTTATATATCTTCAATAATACATATACATTATCAGCTTATGCAGTGAAGAGTTAAATTAGTTCTGTTGCTTATAATACTTAAAATAAGAACATATAAGATATCACATCGAACTACTATTACTAATGATTGAATGTATATTAGAATTATTAATTTATTAATTTTGTTTATTTTTTATGAATTTTTAATTTTTTTGTTCTTTTGATAATTTTTGTTTTACTTTTAAAAAAATATTCTAAATATATAATTATATTTTTAAAAAATTAACAATTACATACAGAAAGGAGATTTAATGATTATTAAATTGAGACGAATTTCTTGTTTACATATTTGTATGTATATTTGTATCAAAATCGAATCTTTTGTGAAAAATAAAGAAAGTATTTATTATAAAAGTGATAATCTATCGAAAGATTGAAATAAAATAAAAGTTTAATAAATTTTACAAATATTATAAATTTCTATAATGCGATATTTTTAATATAAAATACATAAAATAAAAATAAAGATAATTCTTTGAACTATTACAATATATATATTCAAGGTATTCATTTGGAATTTCGAAACATTGTTTAGAATAATACATGACATAATTTAATGTAATAAGTAAGCTCGTGAATCATTAGAAATAATGAAAAGAAATATTCCACAACTTATATTTACAATAAATAACTATTTTTTTATCATATTGAAAAGAGTCTTTCTTCATCTCAAAATATTATAGAATATAAGCTCATGTTAGAATATTCAGAATCTTTCTTTTAATGAAGTTAAAAAAACAAACAAATTGCAAACTCTGCGTATGTATGGGATAAATTTTACTATACGTAATTTATAGTGCCAGTCACCATTATTTATAAAATTGTTCTTAATTAAATCTCTCATTGTATGAAGATAGAAAATAGGAAATTCAGATAAATAATTTATGCTTACCTAATCGTTCGAGGCGTTCCCTGTCCAACTGACTATGCCCAGGTGGCACAGCGTATAAGCCAAACTGGTGTAAACTTTGCGAAGGGCCCGAAGGACCCGGAGGTGCTAGTCCGCTACTGGCTGCATAACGTCGGTGAATTTCCAGCCAGTGAGGATCAACTGGTGCTGCCATTGGTCGGGGAGCGCCTTTTAACAGTTCCTCCTACAAATTCAGAAAATGGTAACTTTAGAATAATTTACACTTCGTAATTAATGAAAGGCTAATCTAATGAATCTTACTTAATTTATATATCTATAGATTTGAAACTAATTAATAAAAGAAAATATGTAATATGTAAAAATGTTAATCAAAATCGAGTAAACTATAGAGTTTAAATAGATTATAAAAGTCTTAATTACAAAATACGTATTTTAATTTGAGATTCTCATGTTATATGTGAATAAACATATTACATAATAATATAAAATCTTAACTATCATACATTTCCTTTCATGTGATATACAAAAATTACAAAAATAAAAAAGAGCAAACCTTAACAAGATATTTAAAACTCTTAAGCAATAAAGTTACAAATAAAGCTTTTATTTATTAAATTACTTTTTATCATTTCAATCACATTCAGTGTATTGAAATATATCTGTAACAAAGGTCTACTACAGTTTTGACATGATACTCGAAACTTAGTTATATTTAACTATTTAAATTAAGTAAAAAAAAGTGTTAGATCTTGTATATTTTATACCTTTTTTTATTCATTTATCTTTATCAATACAGGCATGCTTTAAGACAATTTAATCAGTTATCAATTTTTCATACTTTTCAGTTTATAAACTTTATATTACTACATAAATAAACAATTATAATTGATTTATATTTATTAATATCAAATCATTTTGGTATAAAATGTCTATATTTATTCAATAAAAAAAAAACTTTTTCTTTATAGTTGCTAATTAAACGGAGTCCATATAATATTGTCGTAACATATAATATTAGAAATAAACATACAAATGAATAAATAAAAAGTAATTAATTAAAAGTTTGGTTATTTTTTAAATAAAATAAGTTAGTAAATGTAAAATATATTAAATACTAAAAAAAAGAAGAAAAATTCAAAGCTAAACAAACATATATAAAAATAATAATTAATATTACTATAAGTAAGCAAGTAATAACGTTTAATGTCTAGGATAAATGTTTAAATTATGCATTATTTTTAAAACAAGAGAAGTTAAAGTTTTTCTGTAAAAAATAATACAATACAGTGATTAAAATAATTTGTAATAATTTGTATATAGTAAGCAAACCAATGGTAATACATTTTCAAATAAAAATTTTTTAAACATTTTTTACAAAACTACATTGTGGATTTTCAAATGAAAATTATTGCTATTAAAAATTTTAATAATATATTTTAATATATTTTATTTTACTATACATTTACTATATATATTTTTTAATATATATTTAATATATATTTTAATATATACAGTTTACTCTTACATCTTACTCTACTACACTTTAAAACTCAATGGTAAATATAATATAATAAGATAATCCAATGTTTATTTTGTAACGGATAGTATAATGTAAATAATTTTGTTTTTTTTTTTATAAAACAAGTAAAATTTATTAACTAATATCGTTTATTGTTTACTTAATAATACTATAAGTTAATTTATTACTATATTCAAAATACTGAAATTATAATGTAATAATATATTTGTTATGCATTACATATTATAAAATTAATACATTTATGAATTTTATTACTAGTTAATTATTAAAAGAATAAAAGATGATGACTTACATTTTGGAAAATGCTATTGATTGAGTACTTTTGAAACTACAATAAAAAATTTTAATTTAAATATATTACATGTAGACGATATATAAGAGTATATTAGATAAAATATATAATTAAATTTATGGTAATTCACAAAACTAATCAAAATAAAGCAAAAAATAAAATATTAATTAAAAACCAGTAATTATAGTTTGAATTACTGTTTGATTTTTTGATTGAATATTAATATTTTAAGTTATTATAAACTATTCATTTTTATCTATTAAAATGAAATTAAAATAATATTTATACCTTTTAATGTCAAAATAGCTAACATCTTTAATTATAGCAATACACTTACTTTCATATTAAATAATCATTACTTTATGTATATACTTTAAGTTGTAAATCATAACTTTTTAATCTCATATTTTTCTTAATAAGTTAATAATTAATTTATTTTTCAAATAAATTTAATTAAAGTACACAAATTTCATTTGAGGTTTATTATTAAAAACTTATGACATTAATGTGCATTACTTTTTTAAATTGTTCTTGTTCATATTTTATTAAAATAAAAGACAGGAGTAAGACATTTTTATATAGAAATGTATTACAATAAAACAAAATATTTTTACTATTGCAATAATTGTTTTCGATATTCATACAACGCAAAATTCAGACATGTATCTTTTCAAAGAGCTATAATAAAAGATTTTATATTTCATAAATAAATATATTTATACGTATTTGTTTATTACACATACATGATATTTTTAAATGTAATATATTTGAATACATTTATAAAATTACACCATATTTGATATATAGGAAATTACATACTGATTAACATACTGACATTAAAAAATGAAATTTTCTTCGATTGATTTTTTAAACACTAATTTTATAGCGTTTGCAATTTAAAAAAAATACTAATATTTTGAGACTAATTTTTTATTGAGCTTGTTAATACATATACTACAAAATATATCATGTTCATTTTTGACTTTGTTACATTTTAAAAACTCTACTTAGAACACATAAATAATATTGAGTTGTATATGCAATATCGAGAATACACATTAAAAAAATTATGACGACAGATTGTAATTACCTTGAGTCGATCGTTGAGTTCTCTCTCCCTTAGTTCTCTAATTTCGCGCTCTCTTTTTTCTCGCTCGAGATGCTCGAGTTCGAGCCTTTCTCTTGCCGCCGGACCATACATATAGTGAAGCATCGCATCCTGGGGTCCGGGATGTCTTGCTGGTGAGAAGGCCGCATGAGGTCTGGCGTACTCCGATAATTGGCGTAGTGCAGGCGTGTCTGCGTAAGTCCCCGGTCGTGTTGCATATCTATCATAAGGTGAAACAACAGGTTCCAAGGGCCCACGGCTCGGCGGCTTGCACGTTTCTGGTTGTTTCTCCGGCGTCGTCATCTTTCTAATCTGTTGCGCTTGAGCTCGGTCTCGTTCTTCGCGCTCACGTTCAGCTTGTTTTCGTGAACGCTCATCGCGCTTTCGTGCCAGTTTTGAATCAGGCACGGGCTTAAAAGTAAGATCAGTACGCGTGCATGAGTTGTTTTCTCCACGATTCCAATGTCGTAGAAATATTGCTGATTGTGACCGATGACACTCTGAATCTTCGACACGCGGTTCTGGAGAGGGCCCTGAACGAGGACTTGGTGGTTCCTCGGGTTCTGGTTCTATTAGGTCCTGCTCGATCTTTGGTTCGGATGGTAGCGGTATGATTTGATGAGGCTGATGAGGCTGGTGAGGCTGATGGGACTGGTGAGGTTGCTGTGGCTGTTGCTGCTGGGGCGGTCTGTGATGATGTGAGTGCATAGAGCTCGAGGAGCTAAGATTTGCGGTCGAAGAGACGAGAGAAGCTGGCTTGCTACGTTGACTATTGTGTTGAGATGAATGTTGGGATGAATGACTATGCGAACTATGTGAGCTATGCGATGAGATTGTAAGAAGTTTATCGTGGTGAAGAGTTGTTGCCTGATGCATAGATGAAGAAGAGTGATGATGGGTGGCAATAAGATTTTCACCCTCTTCACGAGTTGAAACACTGGAGGTCGTGCTGGAATGATGAGCAGTCATCATAGTGGTTGCTTCACTACGCTGAGGCGATGGTGGCGGTATAGCATGCGGTACAGGCCCATAAGGATAGGTCGGAAATGCCGGGTATCCACTTACAGGAGGATAACCGGGATAGGCGTGTGGATGATATGGATGCATAGCAGCAAACAAAGAGTGATGCATTAGCGGATGATGAGGATGGAATGGATGAGTCATATGGGGACTGGATTGCTGTACTGGATGCATCACTGGCTGTGGAATTGATGTCGGGGGTGGAGGGAGGCTTGGTTGAGGCGAGGCTGTAACCGATTGTATGTGGGATATTTGTTGACTGGAGGAAGAAAATTGTTTGCTCGGCGTTGGTGGTTTGCTGCTGCTATTACTGCTGCCAGCTCCATCTGGGTCTTTCTTTATGTTATCTAAACTTGGACCTATGTATCAAATCGAAAATAACGGTATTTAATAACAAATACGTATGTCACAAAAATATATATTGGATGTTTAAAAATCTTAATTTCTCTGCTTCATATATTATTAAATAGATATATCTCTTTACATGAATAACTGATTTGATTATTTCTTTTTAAAGTAATATGATATACTATAAAATAATATAAATATTTTATTCATGCCATAAAAATTATTTATCATACTAATTACTAATTTATTATCATCGTTATTAGCTATTTTAAATTTTGATTAAGTAAAAGTTAAATAAATAATAAAATTTCATTCTATAAACATGTCCATTATAATTATTCTTAATTGTTGAATTACATATTTATTTACATTTTAAATAAGTATGATAATAATTAATTTATAAAATAAACAAATATTCGTAATTTAATTCATTTTTCGTTATTTTCACTCATATTCAAATCTGATCATTTAATTGATTATCGATAAAGATTACTTAACATAGCGACTCACCTGGGAAGCTAGCTTGAAAACCAGGAACTTTGACCTCTTTTAGACTTTGCAGTGGATCGGGTTCAGAGGGTATAATCTCCTGTTTTATTTTTAAGTTTTGAGGCTCCATAGGTGGTGTGTTAGCTAGACTGTACATGACTCCGGGCCTCTCACTCGGCATTATTGACGGTGGTGGTTGAATTGGCTGAAACATATTTATGGGCTCTGGAACATCTCTATCATCTCGATCTCCTAATTTTTCCTGCATCCTATCAGTAGGTATTCTCTCCGATATTCTGTCCTGCATTCTATCTGTTATTCTATCAGACAGCCTTCCCTCTCTTAGTCGCTCTGGTGGTATTCTATCTTCAGGAAGTATCCGTTCGGACAAACTTCGGTTATCTTGGGACATAATAGTAAGACCGAGAGGTTGAGGTGAGTTCGATATCAATGTCAATTGAGAAGGTATACCACTTGTCGACATGTTCTGTGGTATATTAGGGTTAAGGGATGGCGGTCCCACTAGTGGTGGTATACTCAAACTTGTAGATATTGTCGAGGATGCGCTTGTTGACATATTTTCAGGATGCGTTTGGATGAGGTCTCTCGTAGGCTGCATAAGGTTTGAGGGCGGCGGAATTTGTAGGCTTTGAGGTATATGTATACTTTGCGACGAGAGATTCTGAGGCACATTCTGGGGCGCTGTAACGATTGCAGATGACCCAGTATATTGCATGTTGAGAGGATGTGACTGATTATTGGTACTACAGGGCACCGCCATCGCTATAGCTGGTCCAGAAACTATGGCTGCCGCCGATTGAGGTATTGCTCCCAGATTCTGGAGGGAGCTATTCGAGCATATGCCAGCGGGGCTGCCCATCGACTGCGATAGATTTCGGGGAATGTTTTGATTGCTGAGTTCGTTGGTAGCTAAGGGCTGTAATGTGCTATGTGCTATCTTCGGTTGCAATGGTGGCGGTTGTTGCTCCTGCAGTTCCACTATTTCTTCTTTCATAGACGGCGAGGGCGCTGAGTCAATGACCATGGACATTTGCAAAGGCATTGGCATCTGCATGGACAACGGTAAGGGTTCGAGTTTCATCGCCACAGACTCTAATTTCATCGGTTGATTAAGTGTTAAAGACATGTCATCCAGCTGGCATTCCTTCATATTGACTGATTCATCAAGCATTGGTTTTTTGTCGACAATGTTTTCACGTGTGTGAATAACTGGCACTGATATTGGTAAACTTTGGATAAGTGGCTGCTGTGGTGATAAGATGGGTGTAGCAATGGGCGTTGAGGGCTCACAGGGTTCTTCGAGTGATGTTGTTGCGGGACTCACTGGGTTATTGTTAAGTGGTAAACCGCCGACAGTAATATTACTATTACTATTCGTAGTGACTGCAACAACAGTTACTGCTGGATTGTTGATGCTGATACTTTCAGGGATGTCGGCTTCGGTTTCGCGTTCTGGTTCATCCATAAGTGAATTGCTATCAGTTGTTAACGATTCCGATGGACTATCGGTTCTATCGGCGCCACGTTTACGTTTTTGTAAGTCCTTGTCCTCTTCTTGTTCTTCAATCGTGGTACGTTTTTGGCCCTTCTTCGGGGTTTCTGGCTTACTGGCAGATTTTGACTTTTTGGGTTTATCATTAGCGTGTTGGGATTTCTCTTGATCCGGAGTATCTGTTCCACCTGTCCTACGTGGTCTAGCAGCTCTTGATGTTTCTTTAGCCTTATTCCGCGTTCTCATTCTACCGGGACTGTCAGGAGACTCAGTGGGTACTGGCCGAAAAAGGTAAGGCGGAGCGGGAGGTAGCTCGC